GGGACCCCAACGGTCATCTAGTCCAACCCCCTTGCAATGCATCCAACCTCTTCTTTGATTTTATGATTCTGCGATACGATTTGCCTGAGAGTCTTTCCCACTGGACACAGTAGATAAACACACATCGAACTGCCCTGTAACTCACCCTGACATCCTATTACCGAAAGCAACGGCCCCTTTCCCACATCATTTAGGGTCCGGTCTCTTCCACGGCTTCAGAGATTATTTTCTGCTTCCATCTGGTGGTGATTTTCCAGAATTGCTGTGCAGAGAAACCTCTGTTGAAAAAACAAGGGGAGGAAAGGCTTTCTTTGGCCTGCCCGATTATGCTGGCGGACCCAGAGCCATGGCGTTACGAATTCTGTGGAATCCAAACTGTTATATAAGAAAATGCAATATATAAGAAATAGAAGAAGCAAGAAAGGAAAAAAAGGAAAGAATGATTTAAAATTGTACAGCATCGAGTACAGAGCATCGCTGTTACTACAATAGGCAGACAAATAATTAGGCGGCCCAGGAATACCTTCAGCGGTTTTCAAGTGGTCCACAGGGAGGAAAATGAATGGGAATCGCTGCCTGAATTTCTGAAAATTTACACCCAAATGCAGGGCCGGCCCAAGACATTTTGGCATCTGATGTGGACCCCAAAATGATGTCCCCCTTTCTGCCAGGGAAGAAGGGGTGGGGGAAGAACTACATCAGGAACAAGCCGGGGAGAAAAAATTGACATCCGCATCTGCTGCCCCTGTGAATTTTGTCGCCTGAGGCAGTAGCCTCACTTTGCCTCTTGGTCAGGGGGCACCGCCCCAATACACCTGTTGGCTTTTAAGGTGCCGCAAGGCTCTTTTTGGCAACAGACTAACGCAACCAGCCCTTCTTGAATCTCCAACGGGAGGCTGTTTTCAAGCCTAATTGCTTCATGGGTAGAGAAGCGAGGCAGGCAGGTTGAGGGCCAGATGAAGAGTTCCTGGGGGCCGCATACGGCCTGCGGGCTGACAGTTGTCCTCTCCTGTTTTCCAGCAAGATCTTTCTAGCATTCTCCTGCCAGGAAGTCCTTTCCAAGCTGGCACCTTTTTCGAGGGACCCCAGGATGATAGGGGTGCATTTCAGAGAAATCCGGAGGCAAGCTCTTATTTTTGCAGGTGACAGCGGTTTCAACCAAGGTATAGCGAGTTGTGACTAAGGCCGCTTCAGACCTCTCTAAATATTGCTAATTTCCAGGGACACCCCTGATGTGGGAGAAGCCGCCCCAGTTTCTGATTTGATCCTGGAATGTCCCACTTTTCCTTAGGATGTCCCTCTTTTCATTGGAGAAATGTTGGAGGATTTAGAGTTGTCCGACCCCCGAGCCGTCTAAAGGGAATCCTTTATAGGGATGTTTAATGTTTTATTATGTTTTTCTGTTTTTATTATGTATTATTATGTATTAAAGTCGTACCTTGGCAGTTGAACACCTTGCGAACTGAACTCCGCAAACCCAGAAGTGAGTTTTTCCGGTTTGCGAACATTCTTGGGAACCCAAATGTCTGACCTGGGTTCCAAGGCTTCCGATTGGCTGCTGGAGCTTTCTGCAGCCAATAGGAAGCTGTGCCTTGGTTTCCAAACATTTTGGAAGTCCAACAGACTTCCAGAATGGATTCCGTTCGACTTCCAAGGTACAACTGTATTATGTTTTACTTATTATGTTGGATTATGTTTCCATATATGTCAGCCCCAGAGTGGCTGCGGCAACCCAGTAAGATGTCTGGGGTATAAATAGTAAAAATATTATTATGGAATGGGACGTCCCTATTTTCATTGGAGAAATGTTTTTTCGGGGGGGGGGGTAATGTCCCCTAGAGGGACGCGGGTGGCGCTGTGGGTTAAACCACAGAGCCTAGGACTTGCTGATCAGAAGGTCAGCGGTTCAAATCCCCACGACGGGGTGAGCTCCCGTTGCTCGGTCCCTGCTCCTGCCAACCTAGCAGTTTGAAAGCACGTCAAAGTGTAAGTAGATAAATAGGTACCGCTCCGGCGGGAAGGTAAACGTCATTCCCGTGCGCTGCTCTGGTTCGCCAGAAGCGGCGTAGTCATGCTGGCCACATGACCCGGAATCTGTACGCCGGCTCCCTCAGCCAATAAAGCGAGATGAGCACCGCAACCCCAGAGTCGGCCACGACTGGACCTAACGGTCAGGGGTCCCTTTACCTTTTTAATGTCCCCATGCACTGCATTTTTAAAGCAGCACCACACCGCTTCAATCCTGGGAACTGTAGTTTTTCAGGGTGCAGGAAGCACAGTTTGTTACAACTGAGGGAATTGTACCCCGTGGTGGGAAACTACAGTTTCCGTAATTCAGGGGGGAAGGTTGCCATGTGCGCCAGTGGTGCTTTAAATGTTTGGGGTGGGTATGCCCTTCCTTCCCGCATGCACCCCACTGCAAGATGTGACTCCCGTCACGTCCCTACCCGGACAGGAGCCCATCTGTTGTATTGCGTGTGCCATGAGGAGGTGGTTGACCTCCCTTATCTCTCACCGCCCACTCCTGAGCGGGTGCCGGCTGCAGCTGGGACAACTCTGCAGCCCTCTCCCAGTCCCCGGGCAAACCATGGGAGAGACGGCGGGGGCGGCCCAGGTCCCTTCCGGCTCTCAAGGTGGTCAATCTCACAGGCCTGGGGCACATGAGAGCGGAGACCTACCAAGGTAAGCATGGAAGTAGCTTTCTAGCAGGGTGGCTCCTGAGAGGCAGCAGGAGCAGAGAGGGGGTTGTTTGCTTGGCTTGTCAAACAGGCACTTGCTATGGAACAGGGCAGGCCTCTGACAGGAAGCACAGTTTGCGCTGCGGACTGCGTGCCACAGGCAGGCCGAGCTGGAGGACAAGAAATTCCGCAGGGAATTCCAAATACACAGGGCATGCTAGAGGCCGGGTGGAAGGCCTCTAGGGTGGTAGCTCAGTGGCAGAGCAGCTGCTTGGCATGCAGAAGGTTGCAGGTGCCTGGAATCTCCAGATAGGGCTGAGAATGTCCCCTGCCTCGGGTGACCAGCTGCAAATATTTCATTTCATTTCATTTCATTTCGTTATTTCATTGCATTGCATTGCATTGCATTGCATTGCATTGCATTGCACTGCACTGCACTGCACTGCACTGCACTGCACTGCACTGAATTTATACCCCACCTTTCCCCCCAAGGAGCACAAGGTAGTGCACATGGTTCTTCCCCTCCTTATTTAAGGACAGACGAAAGAAACCACTCCTTCACCCCGGGACCTCATTCCCTCTGGAGGCAGGATGGCCACCAACCTACCTGGCTTGAAAAGGAGGATTAGACTAATTTATGAAGGAGGCGGCTGTTGACGACTACAGTCGTCCCTTGGTTTTTCGACTTCCGAAAATGTTCGAAAACCAAGGCACGGCTTCTGATTGGCTTCAGGAGCTTTCTGCAGTCAATCGGAAGCCGCGTCAGCTGCGTTGGACGTTCGGGTTCCAAAGAACATTTGCAAACTGGAATGATCACTTCTGAGTTTGAGGCATTCGGGAGACAAAACTTTCAATTTGCAAGGCGTTCAACAACCAAGGTACGACTGTACAAGCCAGGATGACTATGCTCTGCCTCCACAGTCGAAGGCAGCGATGCTTCTGAATACCAGTTGCTGGAGAAACCACAGAAGGAGAGAGTTGCTCTTCTGTTTGGGTTCCACTGTTTGGGTTTATCTGGCTGGCCACTGTGAGAACAGGATGCTGGATCAGATAAGCCATTGGCTGGGATCTTCTTCTGTTCTTAAAAATGTGGTCGAAAGGTCTAGTGCGTCAACACAGCCTATGGCTGGTGGGTATCCAAAGCTGTTCAGAGCTCCAGGAGAATTGCGCTTCTCCCTGTGAAAGTCATCATGTCTGTGTCTGTTTGATAGCTCAGTCTGGAAAGAGCATGAGATGGGAGCCCTAACCTCAGGGTTGTGTGTTTGAGCCCCACATTAGGCAAAAGATTCCTGCATGGCAGAGGGTTGGACTAGATGGCACTTGGAATCCCTTCCAAATTTATTATTCCATGATTTGTGACCCACCCTGGGACCTCATGGTGCAAGGAGAGTCAGGAATCATAACGATGATGATGATGATACAAGACTGGGTGGACTCAGGATAAGGCAGCTTTCTGGGTTGCTACGATACGATAATCTTTATTGTCATTGTCCCATACAGAACAACGAAATTGAAAAAATCTACATCAGACATTCAAAAACCAACAAGCCTGCTATCCCAGCTATGCCAGCCTAGTCAGCCCCCTAAAAACTCTGATACCCCATAATTAAATACAATATACTCCCATAGAGACTACCTTACACTGTGTTTAAAACCAAAATCGCATTTGAACAGAAACTGTTTCTCAGGTGGCTAGTCCTAGTCTTTATAACCCTGTACCTTCTTCCAGAAGACAGAAGCTGAAAGAGACCAGGCCTTTGGTCAGGGCGCAGCCTGACTCCCTCCTTTGGCAATCTTCACAGAACTTTAGCTTAATGGTTGCCATCAATCTGATTTTAACTAGTTTTTATAATGAAATGTTTTTAGAATGTTGCACTAATTTAATGTTGTTAGCTGCCAGCTTCGGCTGGGGAGGGCAGGATATAAATAAAATTTATTATTATTATTATTATTATTATCATTTCTGGGGTGCGCACTATCCTGCACTTATGGCACTTAGCTTTCTTATGGCACCTGGAAGCATAGATTTGATCCAAGGTGGGAAGATTGCACCCAATTATTCTCTCCGCAGTCTTTATAACCCTGGACAGCATTGTTTTTTCCCCTGACCGTGCAGCTCCCAAACCACACACACAGACCATAAATTAATATACTCTCAACAGTACAATGGTAAAATGCCATCAACAGGTCCTTTGCGATATTATTTTTCCGGAGGATTCTCAGCAAATACAACCTCTGCTGTGCTTTCTGCATCAGGTCTCTGCTGTTTTCTCCCTAGGTTAAGTCATCTCTCAACTCCTTTCTCTCTTTTTTGCTAGGTCTTTTGGAACAAATGGATCCAGACTAGGGGAGACTTGACGGATGCCAGGCTCTTCATCGCAAGGCTATGTGAGCCCAGCTCCAGGTTTCATGGTGCTCACCAGAACCCCCCAATTTCACCAACTGCAGCGAGCAGGCGCAACAGGACTGTGCATCTGGCCCCGAAGCACTAGGAACGGCCTCGGTAGAGAATGAACCTCTTAATCTCAGAGCCGTGGCATCGAGCCCCACGCTGGGCAAAAGATTCCTGCACTGCAAGGGGTTGGACTGGATGACCCTCGGAGGTCCCTTCCGACTCTACAATTCTGTGAAACTCTCGCACTAGGGAGCCAGCCGGCCTTGTCATTCCTTGCCTCCTCCGTCAGCCAAGGAGGAAATGTCTGGAAGTGGGAAGTCTTCCTGAAGGCTCGGGCTTGCTGCTCGGAAGCCGTTGATCAGAGGTCACCAGCAGCTTCACAACAGGAAGCCGTGCGGCGCTGGCTCCGAGGTGCCGGCAGCTACGCAGAAAGCCCGTCGGAGTCCCCTTGGCCTGCCCTCGTGGCTGTGGCACCGCTCAAGACACCGTCCATGGAAGCCAGGCGGGAGCTGGGAGGCAGCCGCTGTTCCCTGGCAGGAAGATGCTGTGACAAGGCGGCTGCCAGCTGGGCATGGAGCTGAACCGTGAGTGCTGGGCTCGCCCCAAGGGGTCTCGGAAGACACAGGCAGGACCCCTGGGGAGACCGGCCTGTGGGTCAGCCACACGCCCTTCTCTGCTGGAAGCCCTCCTTCTCCCCAGTCCTAGATGGCTGGAGGGAAAGGCACTCTGTGCATGGGCTGGAGCGAGGGGTCTGACTCTGGCAGGCCGGGCTGAGTCTCAGGGGCTGTGGATGGTGTTGCCTCCAGTCCAGAGCGTCCTGAGAAGGAGCGGGGGTTGATCTAGATGGCCCTCAGGGTCCCTTCCAACTCTACCATTCTATCCAGGACTTCCTCTCCGCTATGGATTTCCCCAAGGACAAGTCTTGGTGTTACACACAGCAGCGCCTCTCTAAAAAGCAGGGTGGTGCTCCCTCCCCCCCAGAAATGTTGCTTAATTGTATGCAGATGCATGCTCATTTGACTAGTTCCTTAATTGACAAATGGTCATGTGGGTCATTGACTAACAGTACTGCCAAAATCAGTCCTGCAGAATTTGGTGGGGCTTACTCGTGAGTGGCTACAAGACTGCAGCGTAAGATTTAGTTCATTGGGTGACGTCTTTTTAATTAGCAGAGGAAAGAACTTGGATCCTGTTTTGTTTTCATGAAGCCCAGTTCAGGCCAGCGGTGAAAATTCTGGAGAAGAAGTAACGAAACTGAAATTGTTATTTCCAGCATCGGGGTGGGTGGAGAGTGCTGTGCCTAAAACCTTCTTCCTCTCCTCTAGGTGACCTTTCCATCCACCTCAGATTGTGAGGTCTGCTTAAGGTTTCTCTGTGCTGAGGGCCAGGCTCTCTGCACATGCTCAGAGGCACTTTTGCAGCCTCACATGTTCAGCTGCTAAACCTTGGCGTTTGCACAACGCACCATTTCAGAAATGAAGCCGGGTTATCTCAGCTTCGGATACAGCAAATATTAATACAGTACTGGAAGGTGTTTGAACAGGAAGGAGAAGGCACCCACCCCTTTGTACACTGAACCAATGATGTCTGAAGTCCATCATCCTGGTCCTCTATTCATACACAGAACATTTTTTTTCTGGGTCAAAGGAGGTGTGTGTGTGTGTGTGCACATACAATCTCTGTGTGTAGGAAGCAGAGGTGCTTGTTATGTCCTTGTCATCTGCCTGATAGCTCAGCTTTGGAAAGGCAATTTTAACTGGGAAATGGACTGGCAAGGGAATTGCGGAGTCTGTGGACAGCTCCTTTGCCCGCAAACTCACCCTAATTCAGCCTCCCATTACCTGGGGCATGTGGGATGTGAAACACAAGAGCAGTCAAGTACAACATTCCTAGAGTGCACATGTTTACACATGGGGAGGGATGTTTGTCCAGCCAGCAGGTAAACTTCCTGTTTCCTTCTGGGCTGGGACAGACTTCCTCTGCATGTGACTAGAGGTGGGTGTGGCCTCACCTGTGCAGGTAATGACAAAAGCACAGGGCAGGGCAGCCATCTCTCTCTCTTTCACCACATGCATCGAAGACACAACATCTACTGAGCGAAAGATGCCCTCTTGGCTTCCAGCCAAGAGAGGACAAAGGGACTGTCTTCTTAAGAGATAGATTCCAAGTGTATGTTACTTCATTAAGCTAAGTCTGCCTTCTGGGATCTGATTGTGAACAGAATGTGAGTAAACTCTTTTTATACTTTTGTAAAAGACTGTGTCGTCTCTTCTATTTTATGAGGGAATAAGGGGAAAATACCAGAACAGTTATTATAGAGGCTTTAGCGAGCCTGAGCAAATGCAGCCACTGCAAATTTAAAAGAAGGGAATGTTACTCTGCTGAAATTGTGGAACTTGTTAACACAAGTTGGATAAGGATATAATCAGACAATATATCCTCTCCTGCATCCCTGAACATTCCCACAGGGCAGAGGGTTTCCTTGTCCCACCTAACTTTATCATCATTTTTCATCACATTTATATCTCAGCTTTTCCTCCATGGCTCTCAATATGGTGTCCGTGGTTTCCTGTCCTCCTCATTCAATCCCCACAACAACCCTGTGAGGTACGGTGACCTGAGAGGAAAGCCCAGTGTTAAATGAGGAGGGGGAGAACCTCTTTGAGGAGGAAGGAAGGAAGGAAGGAAGGAAGGAAGGAAGGAAGGAAGGAAGGAAGGAAGGAAGGAAGGAGGTCTAGGGAGCCTACCTGCCAAGCTGATTCAGAGGGTACCAAACATTTGGCCATCTATCCTTTTGTCTCTCCTCCCTCAAACCTCCCTTAGGGCTCCTCCTTCTCCTCACTGTATTCTTGCTCGGTTTGGACCTGTTTGAGATGAGTCCCACCAGGCTGGTTTGTGACAGGAGGCTAATCCAGAAGTACATCACCGAAGCCATGGACTTGGAGGACAAAGTGGTAAGCAATGCCGTTTCACTTCAACCGGGCAGAGCCTTGGCATGTTTTGCTGGCTTCCATAGACTTCCCTTAAGGTTACACCACTCACCGAGTGGGTGGCATGTGATGGGTGGCCCAGAATAATACTCAGAACCGTCCAAGACATTTTGGCACCTGAGTCAGACCCCAAAATGGGGCCTCCTTTCACCCCACCAGAAAAGAAGGGGTGAGGGCAGATCTACATCAGGAACGAGGGAGAAAGATTGATACTGTGACCTGCTGCCTGGTGAATCCTGCTGCCTGAGGCAACTGCCTCACCTTGCCTCACGGGTGGGCCGGCCCTGATAATACTGCCCAGCTGCAAGGAAGGACACAGTTTATTTATTTAGATCAACCTTTCTCAGTCTAGTGCAGGGTTTCCCAAACTTGGGTCTCCAGCTGTTTTTAGACTACAACTCCTATTATCCCTAGCTAGCAGAACCAGTAGTCAGGGATGATGGGAACTGTAGTCCAAAAACAGCCAGGTTTGGGAAACCCTAGTTTAGTGCTTCCGAAATGTTTTGGACCACAACTCCCATCAGCTCCAGCCAGCTCAGTAGAATTTTTAACCACACAGCACAGTGTTGGGGCAGCCACTATTTCCTGTACAGTGGTACCTCGGGTTACATACGCTGCAGATTACATACGCTTCAGGTTACAGACTCTGCTAACCCAGAAATAATGCTTCAGGTTAAGAACTTTGCTTCAGGATGAGAACAGAAATCGTGCTCCGGCGGCGCGGCAGCAGCAGGAGGCCCTATTAGCTGAAGTGGTCTTCAGGTTAAGAACAGTTTCAGGTTAAGTACGGACCTCCGGAACGAATTAAGTACTTAACCTGAGTTACCACTGTAGTTGTGTGAATAAAATGCAGGGAGAGAACCGTGTGCCTACGCTAGTGGCCAAAATTGTGGAAACCTTTTGGAGAAAGTGTATTTCTGAGGTTTGATGGCTCATAACACCATTTTTTTTTTTTTTGAGGCAATACGATAAAATTATACAGTGGTACCTCGGTTTAAGAACTTAATTTGTTCCTGAGGTCCGTTCTTAAACTGAAACTGTTCTTAACCTGAAGCACCACTTTAGCTAATGGGGCCTCCCGCTGTCGCCGCCTGATTTCTGTTCTCATCCTGAAGCAAAGTTCTTAACCCGAGGTACTATTTCTGGGTTAGCTGAGTCTATAACCTGAAGCATCTGTAACCTGAAGCATATGTAACCTGAGGTACCACTGTATATCAATGGAAAGATAATTTAATGAAGAATGTAATGCAACAAGGTATGTTCAATTCTCTGTATTCTATCAAAAGCTATAGCCAAATAATCAGAAAGAGGAGTGTTTAGACAGCCAATCAGGTGTCATCTTGTTTTGGCAATGATGGCTCATAACACCACTTTTTTTTGGAGTAAAACCATAACATTATATATCAACGGACAGATGATCTACAGCCCCAAACCATGTTCTTTTGGGTACCCATGAAGTTTGGCCGTAATTGCTTTGCACCTCATTTGTGGGGTGGCACTTGTTGGGGGACAGATGGTTGCATTTCCCCAGTGCATTTGGCCATTCCTGCCAGCTGGCCTGGTTGCTTCTCCTCTCAGGGGTTTTCTGTCCTTTCCGCAGAGCCAGTGTGAGGAACTCCCCTTCCTCCAGCAGCCTGTGCAGCTGCCCCTGGTCGGGTTCAGCCTCCGAGAGTGGATGGCAAAGACAGTGAGTATGTAAAAATGACCAACCCACCCTCTATGGGTCAAGGGCTGGGGCCTGGGCTTGTTGAGCTGTGATGGCTTTAATCCAAATGCTACAAGCATTTGACCTAAAAGAAGATGCCATGGCAGGCTGGAGGGCTCACCCTCAGGTTCCCAACCAGCCATGGCATCTTCTAGGACCAGGGGCCAGTGTGGTGTAGTGGTTAAGAGCAGTAGACTTGTAATCTGGGGAACCGGGTTCGCGTCTCCGCTCCTCCACATGCAGCTGCTGGGTGACCTTAGGCCAGTCACCCTTCTTTGAAATCTCTCAGCCCCACTCACCTCACAGAGTGTTTGTCGTGGGGGAAGAAGGGAAAAGGAGAATGTTAGCCACTTTGAGACTCCCTAGGGTAGTGAGAAAGCGGGATATCAAACCCAAACTCTTCTTCTTCTTCCTCTACTATGAAACTAATGAAGCTTCAGCTTCAAGCCCCCTAATTCCAGAGGGGGCCCAGAATATGGGCATAGCCAGGCGGGGAGGGGAGGCCAGCTGCCTCCCCCCCAAATCAAGTAAATAAATAAATAAAATACTTAACTAAAACTAGAAATAATCAGAATATCTGGAATTGAAATGCTCACTGAGGTCACCTGGATGATGCTGTGGTGCATTCTAGCGACACGACTGAACGATAGGCGTGGCTTCTGTGAACTGACCAATCACGTCGTAGGTAGCTTGGTTCTGGAACAGGACAGGGGGCTGTCCTGCCCACGCCCCAACATAAATCCTGGCTGTGCCCATGCCCCAGAAATGACTTCAGTCCACATTGCTTTTTTAAAAAAAATGGGTCTAGTAGAATCAATTTCACCATTCTATGATGTACCGTGCATATAACGTTTCCTTAATTTTCACACCCCTCACAACTCGAAAACCATAAGGCATAGGAAATATTTATTCACTGTGTTGACTTTGACATGTGAGATAACCCAGTACAGCAACTTTAATCAAAATCTGGGATGTGGTAGTTATTATTATTATCATTTTAAAAAGTGATCTGTTGTGGAACAACCCCATTGAAGAAGGTCACAGGGCTTATCCCAGGGGTAGGCAACCTAAGGCCCATGGGCCGGATGCAACCCAATCGGCTTCTAAATCCGGCCTGCTGGTGGTCCAGGAATCAGCGTGTGTGGACATGAGTAGAATGTGTCCTTTTATTTAAAATGCATCTCTGGGTTATTTGTGGGGCATAGGAATTCGTTCATATTTCCCCCCAAAATATAGTCCAGCCCACCACATGGTCTGAAAAAGATTGCTGACCCCTGGCTTACCCAGACCTCGTTGCTAGTTGCTCAAGCTGCAGGACCCCCCAAATTGTAGATCCGCCAGTCTAGGATACTCCATTCCACACAGACCCTGCAACAGCCCCCGGTATTCTGCAGCCACGGATGCTTAGTCCTCACTGGGTTGTTCTGCCTCCTAAGGCCGTCTTTCCATTTCCATTTAATCTAATCTGACTCCTGCAAGGCAACACCACCCTCTCGTGGTACTGCTTTGATTACACCAGAAGCAGCACACGGAAAAGGAGTTCGCTCTCACTCATCCTTGTCCAGCCACCAATCCCCGGGCTCTGAACCTTCTTCTTCCCTTGGGAGTTCCTCAGCTGGTTCCTTCCACCATTCCTTTGTGTCCAGACGGTCCATGACATACTAGGATCTGGGAGAGCAGAGTTTGAATTTCCCATCCTTACGTATCTCACAGGTTTGCTGCGAGGATTAATAATAATAATAATAATAAATTATTTATACCCCACCCATCTGGCTGGGTTTCCTCAGCCACTCTGGCCAGCTCCCAGAAGAATATTAAAAACACGATAAAACATCAAACATTAAAAACTTCCCTAAACAGAGCTGCCTTCAGATGTCTTCTAAAAGTCAGATAGTTGTTTATTTCTTTGACATCTGATGGGAGGGCGTTCCACAGGGTGGGTGCCACTACCGAGAAGGCCCTCTGCCTGGTTCCCTGCAACTCATAGGGAGGGAACCGCCAGAAGGTCCTTGGAGCTGGACCTCAGTGTCCGGGCTGAATGATGGGGGTTGGAGATGCTCCTTCAGGTATACTGGGCCACAGGCAGGGAGAAGTCTGGACACCACCTTCAGATCTATGGAGCAAAGCTGAGATATGACCACAACAACCAACCAATAAATAAGAAATGTCAGAATCACCCAACGACTGCCCCTCTCTCTTACTCTTTCAGAACCAAGACAAAGGGCAAGAAACCCTCCGTGATCTGGCTAACTTGGTGGATGGCACAGCAGCCGCCCAAGACCAGCTGAGCCGGGGCTGCGCCTTGCCACTGCTCCAGCAGCTTTATGAGAAAGCCAGCTCCTTCCTCCTGCAGCTCCGAAACTTTGGGTGGCAGGTGAGAGGCCGAAGGGGGCTTCCCCAGGATGACAATGATGATTGATTAAATTTGTATTCTGCCCTTCATCCGTAGATCTCAGGCCGGATCACAACATAAAATACAAAATAAAAGCACAAAATACATGATAAAAACAAGAACAAAAAACACAAACCAATAAACCTCTCTCCTCCCCACCCCCAAACACGTTTAAAAGTCAGCCAAGGCCTAGTTGAAGAGGAAGGTTTTCCCCTGGTGCCGAAAGGCATAGCTGTCAACCGTCCCTTATTTGGCGGGAAAGTCCCTTATCCCAGCGCCGTGTCCTGCTGCTGTCACTTATTGATGACGTCCCTTAAATTTCCCGGGTTTCAAAGGAAGCAGCTCCTCTCCCTCCCTCCCTGCTGGCCAGGGAGGAGGGAGGCTCCAACTGTGTTGCTTGGCTCGTTGCTCACCCAATAAGGAGTCTAAGAACGACTGGGGGGGTGGAGCTTGCATGCCTTGTGTTGATCACATCGGCCGCATTGCCTGGGGACTCACCTTTGCTCAGCGCTTCCCAGTGGAGAGGTGATGGTGGTTTTCCTTGCTGCATCCCCTTTGCCGGGTTGCAGCGCTGTGGGAACCACCGCTTGAGGCTTTGTTTGGCTGCTGGCTGGGCTTTCTGCCTTTGGCTCAAAGGGGCTCAGAAGTTGAACATACCTGTGCTTGGAAAATCCCTTATTTTGGCTGCTGGTCCCATATTTTTGAGGCTGCTGGTCCCTTATTTTCAAATCTGTAGATTGACAGCTATGCCTAAAGGTGTCTAATGAATGTACTAGCCAAAACTCCTTGGGGAGAGCATTCCACAAACAGGGAGCCACCACAGAAAAGAGTTAAAACTATGGGATTTGCTTCCGCAAGGTGTAGTGATGGCCGCTAACATGGATGGCTGTAACAGAGGATTAGACAAATCTATGGGGAATAATATCTGCAATGCTCTCTGGCTATGTACTGTTGGAGGCAGTAGGTCTCTGAATGCTAGTTACTGGAAATCACAAACAGCGAAAGTTGTTGTTGCACCCAGGCATGGCTCTGCTTTGCTGACCTCGATTGCAGGGTTGTGGGGGGACGGGGGACAGACTTGTGGCCCTTCAGATGTTTCTGGGCTGTGCCCAGGGACCTGTCTCCTTGGGCATAGTTTGGGGGGGGCCTGCAGGGCAACACGAGCTGTTCCGTCCTTCTCATCCAGCCTCCATCTGGTGCATGTCTGTTGCATCCTTCTCAGCTGCCCTCCAGGGAAAAAACAATGCTGTCCAGGGTTGTAAAGACTGTGGAGAGAATAATTGGGTGCACTCTTCCCACCTTGGATCAAATCTATGCTTCCAGGTGTCATAAGAAAGCTGCAGAGATAGTGCAGGATAGTGCGCACCCCAGAAATGATCTCTTTCAGCTTCTGCCTTCTGGAGGAAGGTACAGGGTTATAAAGACTAGGACTAGCCGCCTGAGAAACAGTTTCTATCCAAATGTGATTTTGGTTTCAAACGCAGTGTAAGGAGTGTCTATTGGAGGGGTATCGGAGTTTTTAGGGGGCTAACCAGCTTGGGGATGCAGGTGGCGCTGTGGGTAAAACCTCAGCGCCTAGGACTTGCCGATCGTCAGGTCGGCGGTTCGAATCCCTGCGGCGGGGTGCGCTCCCGTTGTTCGGTCCCAGCATCTGCCAACCTAGCAGTTCGAAAGCACCCCCGGGTGCAAATAGATAAATAGGGACTGCTTACTAGCGGGAAGGTAAATGGCATTTCCGTGTGCGGCGATGGCTCGCCAGATGCAGCTTGTCACGCTGGCCACGTGACCCGGAAGTGTCTGCGGACAGCGCTGGCCCCCGGCCTCTTAAGTGAGATGGGCGCACAACCCTAGAGTCGGACACGACTGGCCCGTATGGGGAGGGGTACCTTTACCTTTAACCAGCTTGGGATAGCAGGCTTGTTGGTTTTGAATGTCTTATGTCGGAAATGTACTTGGATCCAGTGAAGATCCTTCAGGACCAGTGTTATAAGGTCCCAGCATTCGTTCCCAGTCACCAGTCTAGCGGCCACATTCTGGCTTAGTTGTAGTTTCAGAATCACCTTCAAAGGTATCCCCACGTAGAGCGCATTGCAGTAGCCCAAGCAGGATATATCCAGAGCATGTACCACTCTGGCGAGACAGTATGCAACTGTTCCTCATAAGGCTTGATTTCCAAGAGCTTTTATCATCCTGCATTCAAGATTTATTTATTTATTTCATAAAATTTATGCTTGATTTTTTTTAAAAAAAAATTCAAAGCAGTTTACCAAAAATTAATGTTTTTTCACTGTGGCAGGCACCCCCACACTTGTCTTTCCTTTCTCATTCTAGGAACAGAATCCCACCGCACAGCCCGAGAGCAGCTCCCAGTTAATTCCTGAAAGAAACCTTAGGACAATCTTTGGGACCTACAAACAGCTTGTGCGGGGAAAGCTGCACTTCCTCTTCCATGACTTGTGGAAAGACTCCTGCAGTGCGGAAGATCAACAGAGGGCTGCCAGCCCTGCAACCTCCCAGTCTGACCACCTCCAGGGGCCACTGAAAGACCCCCCATGGGCTGCTGGCCGGATCCTTCAAGGGAGAGAAGAACAGGACGAGTAGTAGGCCCTCTGGTGGCCAGGTGTGGAAGAGCAAGCCTGGCCAACCCCTCAAAGCACAGGGGTCAGGGAAAGAAGTGTTTCCAGAGCTGAGCGAGCCCAGCTAGGTTACTGGAAAGGCCTGGCTGCCAGCCACAATGGCGACACCCTACTGTCGGAGGCAGCACACCTGTCTTTCAGCTGCAGGGCATCGCCAGGGGGAGAGAGTGTGGCTGCACTCAGGTGCTGCTTGCAAGCTTCCCAGAGGCACCGGACTGGGAAGTGTCATGATTTTCCAGGGAAAAGTCCTGAAAAGACAGAAGCTGTCCTGGTTTCTGATTTGATCCCGGAATGTCCCACTTTCCCTTTGGACATCCCTATCTTCATCAGAGAAACGGTGGAGGAGATAGAAGAGGATTTCCTATTTTCGCTGGAGGAGAGAGAACACCCCTTTTTTCGTTGGAGAAGCATTGGGAGGATGTGCTGTAATGGATGGATACTGGACCTGCAGTCTCAGGCAGCAGCCAAGCTCCTCACATGATCTTATATTCTTGGAGCCATTCATCGCCTTGCTTGGGAAAGGGGCTGAGATTTTAGGAGCTCTCCCACCCTGCCGTGTACTCTGTGCAAAGCCAGTGGGGCAAATGGGCATTGATCAGCATCTTGAGAGAAAGGATAGCTCTTTCCTCTCTAAGAGACCATGATGGATGCTTGGACTCTTCCTCAGTATCAGGGCTTCCAGCTGCAGGGGGCACACTGAACCAAAAACACTTAGAATTCCTCTCCAGGCTTTCCCCCATCTGGGTGGAGTGTGCCAGGGACATTGGAGGCAGGTCTGGCGCCAAGCCTCCGCCTTATTCCCACATGGCTTTGAACAGGGTCCACCAGAGAAATTGGACCACTATGGGTGCCCCCACCTCCTGCAATTCCACATACAGAAGCTGACACAGGTCTCTTACTTTGATCCTGGAGAGGAGATCCTGTCCTGTCCTGGTTAACAGCCTAGTTTAATGGATGTGAGGCCAGCTGTGAGTCCCTGATAACATGACACTGCTGTTGCTTCCAGTGACCTCACTCTGCCCATCGGTAGGGCCAGCCCCAGTTTGGAGTAACACCTGAATACAACCAGAGTATTTGGTTAAAGTGGGGGCAGCCTCTGGCACATTGTAAAGCTGTCACATAACTTCTGTTCTCCTTCTGACGCCAACAGCCAGAGGACACGGTGTGGGCAGCTGTGGAACAAGAACGGCTGGCTTCGGTCAGCAGGAGACGCCCGAGCAAAAGGGGAACAACTCTTGCATCTGCCTATGGTCATGTGACATCCTCCCACCCACCCACGAGTGGCAGCAGGAGACTGATGCTCCCACCCAGAGGGAGGCAGGCCTTCCGAGACTGGACTAGAACTAGCCCTTCCTGAGGCTCTGAGCTGGAAGAGCACAAAGGCTTTCTACACAAAACCTTAGAACAATAAAGACTTACGCTTTTTTTAAAGAAGAAAAAAAAAAACACCCCAGAATGTGTTTCGTTGTATCTTACCAGCCACAAGGGGATAGGTGAGGAAAATACAGGGTACGAAGAGGTGACTGTTCCTTGCACGCAGTGGGTGCATCATGGGAAATCCCAGAGCGCTACAAAACACACGTTGCTTGAAGGAGGAGTTTGGATCTGATACCCCGCTTTATCATTACCCCTAAGGAGTCTCAAAGCAGCTAGCAGTCTCCTTTCCCTTCCTCCCCAACAACAAACACTCTGTGAGGTGAGTGAGGCTGAGAGACTTCAGAGGAGTGTGACTAGCCCAAGGTCACCCAGCAGCTGCATGTGGAGGAGCGGAGACGCGAACCCGGTTCACCAGATTACGAGTCCACTGCTCTTAACCGCTACACCACACTGCCACTCGCAGCCCGTGGTTCGCTTGTTTTGGCACAGTTGGCCAGGCTTCCTCAGATGTTTTGGACTACAACTCCTATCCAATGGGAACTGTAGCCCAAAGCAGCCAGAGAGGCACAAGGCTGCAAAAAGCTTACCCAAGGCCTCTTCCAAAGTGAGGTTTCTTTGAATGAATGCTTTTGTTAGGCTCATGATGAGGGAGGGCAGCGTCATGTGTGCAAGCATATGGCCTGGGCACAAAACTGGTTAAGAACCGCTGAAAAATTCAGCCGTAAGGATCCCCTTGAAGTGCAAAACAACTCCAGGTAAATGCAAGGAGGGCTCTGTACGTACAGTAAAAAATAGGGTTGAGTCAGTGTTTCCAAGGACTGTGGCTGAACGAGAGATACTGGAGCGATCGGTTAACAGAGGCTGGTTGGCTAGAGGGTGAAACAGCCAGTATGACATATATTTTGCCTACATAGAGTGTCCTAATGGAAAGCTTTCATGCACTCTTTGAACTCTGTCTGGTAGTGCATTGCTGAATAAAGTATGAATTTGGTGTACTTGAACCCACAAGGGAATCTCCTATTACACCACAAAAGCCAGAATCCTGGTCTTAGTCCAGAATCTTGTCATTCCCCCTTTTCCTTTCTGACATTATCAGGCCAGCTTTCTCTTCATCTGTCTCACTCTCTGTCCTTCTGCCCAGGAAGGCCATGTCCTTTTGATATTTGAGATGAAACTTGGCCAGGATTGCATTATTGTGTGTGTGTGTAGAAGAATCCAGATCCTGAACATTAGGAATATATATATATGACAAATCAAAAGGTCTCCAAAAGCAAACAGATAAGTAAATTCAATCTGCAGAATATGGATTCCTGACTGCAGTCTCGCAAGCTTATTATTCTCAAATGCTTGGGCAGTGAACTTTCTAGCGTATATACAACAGCCGAATATATATATTTATATAAAAGCTACGTTTAATTAAGGTAAGAAACTGAGATCAAACAGAGGCTCCCTCCTTTTCCCCAGGCCCCCAGCGAAGACGGCCGTCCCCAACCCAGCTTATGATGGCAACGCTGGTTCTCACAGAACTGTGTCCTTACCACAATCACCTGCGTAATAAAAGTGAAAGTTTGTCATAGGCACAGAGAAAATCCGTAGCCCTTTCAACCTCCTCATTGTAGGGGATGTTCTCAGTCGGCTGACACTCTGCCTGCTGCAACCAAGGGGACATTTGGGATACATTTTCACACTGCAGTCCTGGCGGAATCCAAAGAAAGATGATCTTCCTTGAGGCTGTTGATGCAGAGGCTTGGCTGGGGGGATGTGAGGAGGAGGAGGAGGAGGAGGAGAGGAGCTGGGGAGAGATGCTTCTTTTAACACCTCCCCATGCCAGCAATATTCCCTCTATATACCTGGGAGGCAGCAAATGCCCATGCTCCCCCACACTGAGTCCAAGCTGCTGCCACAACAACTCCCAAGGCAGTTAGAAGGCCAGTTTCTTCATCAGGAGATAAACCCTGGAGTCCACTTCAAAGCCATGCAGGTTGTTGGCATCTCCTTGGAGTCTCATCAGCAGCCCACCGTAGGACACGTAGGCAGAGCTAGAGGAGGAAGGGTGGGCCAGAGAAAGGTGAGAAGCAGGAAGGGAGATTACGGCAGCCACAGGGGTTAAAACAACCCCAGCGGAATCATGCAACACTTAAACTATGGACCTCACTCCCACAAGAGGCTGCATGTCTGCGTCCCCATCCTGCCCCCAGTTCTGGTAGGGTGGAAGGCAAGGAGCTCAACAGCAGGTGGCGCCAGAGGCAATGACAGGACACACCACTGCCTGCCTGGCTGTAAGTTAGATGCACGGAAGGTGGGGCTGGCTGAGGGCATATTACTGGTGGGGCAATGCTCCATTGGCTCTAAAGGACAGGCGTCCAACAGCCTGGGAAAGACTTCCTACCGTCTTCCTATTCACTCCCCACTGCCCCCAATCCAGTCACTTAACTCCTTTCATATTGAGCATCTCAAAGAGCTATACTCCACACTCAAGAGAGCTTCTGAGAAGGTTATTATGTACCTATTCGTTTCCAACCAGCTCTTTCCGCAAATAGGAGGGGGGACACTTACAGGCGTGTGGCGGCCTCTGTGGACGTCTCGTCTCCCTCGATCCTGTACACCTTCCCATACATCACGTACTCAAACTGGTCTGCCCTGGAACCAAAAGGAACAGTGGAAGAGAAGGAGAGAACGTGTGTGGTTTTGTGGCCATCACATCACTTCAGGTTGTACCAACATGCTAATAAAGATCTGCGTATCTGTTTCAGCTGCATCACAAGTTTTAAACAGTGCAGATCACAGAGCCTGTGGATTTCCTCTTTCTAAATCCACTTGCAGCCTGGGGAACAATAAGTTCAGATGCCTTCACAAGATGTCCTGCATGTCATACCAGAGATGAGCAAACTCCGACCCTCCTAAGTTTTGTTGGACCCCAACTCCCATCAGCCTCAGCCAGAATAGTCAATGGCCAGGGGTGGTAGGCATCGTAGGCCAAACACAAGTGCTGGACCACAGGTGTCCCATCCTTGGGCTGCACGGTACAGCGGCTAGAGTGCTGGACTAAACCTAAGGAAACCTGGTTTCAAATCTGCCTTCCAACATAGGTGCCCTTGGCAGAATCTCTCTTTCTCTGCCCCGTCCACCTCACAGGGTTGTTGTGAGGATCAGAGTGTGCAGAGAACAGAGAGCCACACACACCCTTTGGATTCCTTGGAGGAAAGGCAGGAAATAAACGTAAAATACATACAGGGTAACAAAGGCAAACAAAATATTGTGCAGCAAACAACAGCACCCCATTTATAGCTCTTTCCTCTCTGGCTCAGCCCAGGAGGACTTAAGAGGAGCAGGAAGAACTTAAGAGGGAGCTCATGAGAGGCATGCTTAGGGACTGCCAAGCAGACAGACACCCTGTGCATAAGGAGCAAACTGCAGAGGATGAAAATAGAGGTGGGGAACCTAATTCAACTCAAGGGCTTGGCTTGCACTTGATCCTGTTCAACCTATGAGGGGCCAGAGGCAGAAGTGGGTGGAGCAAGGCATGCAAATCTTTCTGTCTCTCAATCCTCCATCCAGACGGGCAAAGGGCATCATCAGAGTTCAAAGAGACATTCCACAGAGGCAGAAATACCTGTGGTGCAAAGCAGAGCCAGAAAGGGGTGCAGCCAGGAGAGAGCTCCAAGAAATGGCCACATTTAGCCCCTGGGCTTCAGATCCCCGACCCTTGGATTAGGCAGTAGAACCATTGTGTATACACTTCAAGTAAGGACACACTTTGGGTCTCTACACTGCCCATGCTTGCGCCCTGGAGAGGTCACTTTGGTGGTGCTGATACAGCGGTTTGACTTCACCCTGGGAGGCACACTTCATTGTCTCTCGAGCCAAAAAGATACCATCTAGTGTAGGTTTTGAAGGCACTACAAAAAGAAGCTAGTTTTCGACCTTGCAGAAGGCTGAAAGGAAGGGCACACAACCACAGGACTGATTCGTGAAGCCCTCTCCTTGGCTAGTCCTCTGTTTGCCATCCTCTGCCCCCCCCCCCATTACCTGGATGGTCTGTCATCAGTTGGGTTATATTCTCCATCATCCAAGGTCCCGTCTTCATACAAGGTGCTGGCGATCACAAGGCGGAATTTGTCACCTGAAATGCACGGGAAAACAAAAAAGACAGCGAGGAGTCTTTTCACTACAGCTAATGTTTGTGAGATTCATGTCGCAATGCATTTGTCTAGCTCAGTGTCCAAACCTTTTTCAAAGAGGGCCAGGAAAAGAATGTCACGTGTTTCAAGAGATATGGGTGCATTCAAACAATGGGCGAGGGAGAAATCTTTGCATGTGGCAAGTGTGCAATGGGAATGCGTAAGTGTGATGAGTGTTTGTGATTACGGGATGGCCATGCCTGCTTTTGCTATGGACACATCCACTGCTGGCATGTAATGTTGGGATGGGTGGGTGTGCAGAAAAAATGATCCATGTGCTAAAAAAGTTTTAACTAGCTCTGGGTCAGAGAAACACTGCCAGGCAAGCCCCCTGACTGCACTCACTTACCAAGATCGACAGGGTAAATCTGTATGTTCACATCCAGGATCAAATCCATCTTGAAAGACTCGCTCTCACAATGCAGTCGGGAGACTGGAGGGAGACAAATCCAGGTGTCAAGTTATTAGGGGATAGAGGCATAGAAGGCTGACCCCACCTCCACTTCTGCTGGAATGCCAAGTCATTCCAGACTCAGTTTTGTAGAGCCCAGGAGAAGGGTGAAGAGTTGCACATTTAAATGCAGAATATCTGTTGAAACCCTGGCTCACAGATCAAAGGGAAAGGGACCTAAAGCTGTACGGTTTTTAAGCCAAGGTCTGAAGGGATTTTGAAATGGAGGGTCACCAAAGTGAGACAAGCGGTGATTTGAACCTGGGTTTGTAATCAGAAGCTCTCACCACAACACCAGGGCCTCTTTTTCTCTTGTTGCCATGGTTATTAGCATCTGAACTGTTAGGAGATCCTTCCCCATCACTCTTGCTTCATAAATCCAAGCCCTACTGCCCCTGTAGATTTAGTAAACTTAGGCATTGTAGTAGTAATAGTAGAAATAGCACTATTACTACTAATAGCAGCTATTACTACTAATAGCAGCAATCATCACCACTATAGACATACCCTTTAATTAAGGCAGAGATAAAATTAGTGACTCGACTCTAACTGTTAAAGAGTGTTGGACTAGTATGTAGCTGCACTGGATTTTAAACTGTTTATATACACATACGAAATGGTTTTTATTTCCACACTGCTTTAAGATTGTATTCAATATATGACGTATCTACAAAGCACCATTTCTATGCGTCTCAGGGAGATTTGCAAACAGTTAAAACAGTTTTTAAAAACCAATTCCAAAAACGCCTGAAAAGAAGTTTGACCCTAAGGCGGAGATGCTTAGAAGATGCTTATTAGAAATAAATAAATAGGATGCTGGGTGGTGTGTGTGTGGAGAGATTCAGATTTGAATTCCCCGTGAACCATAAAGCTCACAACCCACCAAACTCGCCTGACAGGGTAGTTTGCAAGATTAAATTGGGAGAGGGGGAACTGGGGGATGAGGGGAAAGGAGAGAAAGAAACCAAGTACACTCCACCTCAAGAGCCTTGGAAGGGAAAAAGAAAGTGTACACTGCACATGTAAATGCAGGAAGCCTGCAACTTAGGTACATTTAACTTGTGTGTGTTCAGCTGTACCCAAGGCAAAAAAAAATTTAAAGGGGGGGAAATCCTACCCGCCGTTGCACCCATTGGGTTTCGGCTATAAATGCCTTTGGCTTTGGGTGCGATCCATCACACACACATTCCTTAAACTGTGGGCTTACTGTAGATAATAATAACAATACTGTAATAATTTTTTATTTGTACCCCGCCCTCCCCGGGCTCAGGGAGGCTAACATCATAAAACTAACACAGTATAAATCGACCAGCCTACATGGAGGCGGGCAGGGAAGCAAGGATGAGGTTCCGTGTCCAGGAGCAGGGTGGGCAGACAGAAACGGGGAAGGATAGGACCACGGGAAGAATGAAAGGGGGACCTCCAAAGGTCATCCATCCCACCCCCCGCAGGAAAAGTACCACTGTGGCCCCCGTGGTTGGAAAACGAGCGCCTGCCTCTCACCCCTGTCGAACTTCTTGCCCTCGGGGTCGATGTCCTTCACGTCGAAGATGTCCTCGAAGAGGATGCCGGCCATGGCAACGCGGGAGGAGCAGCCGGAGCAGCTGGGGGCTCCCGACCTGCTATAGCCACGCGCGCGCTCGCGGTGAGCATGGAGCGCCGCTCTCCTCCCTTCGCTTCCGGCGCGGGCGCCTGGCGATGGCGTCAGCAGCCTGAGGCTCGAGCGGACATGCTGGAAGAGGGCAGAGGGGGGGGGGTGGCGGGGAAAGGGCGGCAGCAACTGGAAGGAGAAAGAGGGCGAGAATGGCGGGGAGGGGGCGTCCCTCAGCTGCGCACGCGCAGAAGTCTGCTTTGAAGCCCGAAAGAGGTCAAAAAAGATCCCGACCTTTAAACCTGCAATAAAGGGAAGGGGCGGGGCAGGAGAAATAAATACAGTATATATTTGTGTGTGTAGAGTATACGTATATTTATCCGTGTATGTATATCACCCTGTTTTAAATGCATTCTATCTCATTTATATATTTTATTTTTCATCCTGCGTTTACTTTTTTAAAAAAACCTTTAACTTACATAAATTTAAGTATTACGGTGCACCGTGTGGTTATTTTATTTTATTTATTAAATTTCCACGCCGCCCTTTGTCTGAGGATTAGAGGGTGGTTTACGATATATATATATATAGTGTTTTAAATGCTGCCATTGAATATTCAACGATGCATACGAGTGTTTGAGAATTATTAACTGCCTAATAATTAAAGTATTTCCTTTACATTGCCTGGAGTGCATTGGCAGCTGCTCTTTTAAATAATTTCAGTTATCGAGCCAATGGTACTGCGGGAGTTGAGCGGTTTCTTCCTCTCTTGCGTTGCTGCAACTTTTCCCATTCCATCTGCACAGGATTGGACCAGTTCTGGCTTCCAAGATTTTATCCACCTATTTTATTAGCCTCATAACAGACAGAAATGCCACTACTCAGAGTGGCAACTTCTTTGTAGTTGGTCAATTTAACATAGCACTTAAGGCCCCCGATGGATTCTTTGCACCACCTGTGACCCAGCACATGCTGAATACAGCCGACTGACCATATATTATGTCCTTTTTACAATTAAGAGTAATAATAATATGTACCCCACACTTCAGCGGGGGGAGGAAGGCTCCCACAGAAGTTTACAAATCTATAGTAGCTCACCAGGGGACTTGATGAGCTTTCTGGTCTTGTTCCAGGCAGCAATTGCCCTTAGCAAGCTGCAATGTGTGGTTGGTGGTCATTCTCAGGGCTGGCCCTATGATGAGGCAAGGGAGGCAGCTGCCTCAGGTGGCAGATACTGAGGGGTGGGGAGCAGTGAGAGCCACGTGGCCTGCTTTGTACCCCCTGTGCCAACCTGCTGCCCTCAAGTGCAGTGCAAGAAATTGTCCTTTCACCAGAACTAGAGTATGATTCAGCTGTCAGTCCAGTTGGTCTCTGTATGCACCTTGGTGGAGGGTGCCATCATGCCTCGGGCAGCAAAAGTTACTGAGCTGGCCTTGGTCTTTCTTCATCAGAGGAACACCCCTGGGGAGACCTTTTCTTCCAAACGCATTCAAGTATCGCTTGTATATTTGCACAGCCAAGCCAGTAAATTTGTTGTTGTTTAGTCGTTTAGTCGTGTCCGACTCTTCGTGGACCAGAGCACGGCAGGCCCTCCTGTCTTTCACTGTCTCCCGCAGTTTGGTCAAACTCATGCTGGTAACCTCAAAAACACTATCCAACCATCTCGTCCTCTGTCGCCCCCTTCTCCTTGTGCCCTCCATCTTTCCCAGCATCAGTGTCTTCTCCAGGGAGTCTTCTCTTCTCACGAGGTGGCCAAAGTACTGGAGCCTCAGCTTCACGATCTGTCCTTCCAGTGAGCACTCAGGGCTGATTTCCTTAAGAATGGATGCGTTTGATCTTCTTGCAGTCCATGGGACCCTCAAGAGTCTCCTCCAGCACCATAATTCAAAAGCATCAATTCTTCGGCGATCAGCCTTCTTTATGGTCCAGCTCTCACTTCCATACATCACTACTGGGAAAACCATGGCTTTAACTATACGGACCTTTGTTGGCAAGGTGACGTCTCTACTTCTCAAGATGCTGTCTAGGCCTGTCATTGCCCTTCTCCCAAGAAGCAGGCGTCTTTTAATTTCATAGCCAGTAAATAAAGCTGCTGAATTATTTCAGGTAAGACTGCTGGGCTCTTGGCTTGTGTAGTGGCTATCACAAACCCAACTGGTGAAGCTTTACCCATCACTGAATCTGCATGCGGGCAGAAGCATCACCTGTTGAATTTCTTCCACCTCGATGCTGCAGCTTAAATGTCATAATAATAATAATAATAATAATAATAATTTTATTTATACTCCGCCCTTCCCGGTTCAAAAACCGGGCTCAGGGTGGCTAACAACAAATGTAAAACACTTTAAAACAATTATAAAAGCAGCATAAAATACAGTATAAAAACATGAATAACAATAAAATAAAAAAATAAAAAATCAATTAGATAATCCCCAGGGCTAGCTGGCTGAATTGGTCCTACTTGGGCCAGCAAGGAGGCCAGGGGAGAATTATCTGTGGGGTCTCAGAGCGGGTGATCTTCATAAAAGGGGAGGGGAAAGGAAGAGAAGGGAAATAAAGAATTCAAATTAAAGGCCAGGTGGAATAGCTCTGTCTTACAGGCCCTGCGGAAGGAGGTTAAATCCTGAAGGGCCCTAGTCTCGTGGGACACAGCATTCCACCAGGTCGGAGCCATCACTGAAAAGGCCCTGGCCCTGGTGGAGGATAGTCTGACTTCCTTAGGGCCCGGGACCTCTAAACTATGGTTATTCACAAGGGGAAGAAAAACAACCGCCAAGTACAACCTTGTACTCCTTCACGTCATGGATGATCATCTGTCATGGGTGCTTTAGCTGAGATTTCTGCATTGCAGGGGGTTGGATTAGATGACTCTGGGGGTCCCAAACAACTCTATGATTCTATGTGCTGTTCGGAGGAGCTACCAGACTGCTGTTCTGGGTGGGTTTCCTGTGCGTTTTAGAGCTGCAGCAAAATGCAGAAATTCAGCCGGTGAAGCCCTTCGCGGCATTGCACGCCCAGCAGGAAAAAAGCAAATCTGTTCGGCTTCCGCATCCATTGACAGCCCTGCTTTTTACTCCTTATTTGGAAGCCAAATCCCACTTCGGAAGGGTCGCAGCTGAGCGGCAGAGCGCAGGCACCATTTTCCAATACTGAGGGCAGCATCTAAAGGTAAGGATGGGACTCGCTCCCTGCCTTGCAATCCTGCAGAGCCTCTGGCCAGAAGACAGCCCTGTCCCAGATGCGCCACTCAGTGTAAGGCTACGTTCCCAAGACGCGGGTGCGTAAAATCTGGCGGACACGGCTAAGGAAATACACAGCGAGGCGCCCAGCCTGCCTCCTGCGCGAATGGAGATTGCTCTCGGCCAGGTGACTTAGGGATGCTTTGCATGTGTCTATGAGGAGGCGCGCTCCCATTGGCCGCCCGGCCCCTTTCCTTCCCGATGCCAGGTTAGCAGCAGGAGGGGGGGGGAAGCCGGGTAGGCTGGGGGACGAGGATGCGCTCTCCATTGGCTGCTGCGCGCGCTCGTCCCGCCCGCTCGCCGACCATTCAATAAACTTTCTCCCGGCTGCAGCTGCCTGGGTCGGGCAAAACAGCTGCAGCGACGCGCAGGTTGCGGGCTGCGAGAGGGAGAGCGCCAAAGGGGCGCTGGATGGGCGTGTGCGTAAAAAGGGCTGGAGAGGAGCGCTGCTGCTGCTGCTGCTGCTGAGGCAGGGAGAATGGTGAGGGTTAGGAGGAGGAAGATGGCACCGCTGCCGCCGCCTCCAGCTGCCCTTTGAGCTCTCCGGAGGGAAGGAGGAGCCCTCGGCCCCACGTTCCTTCGACGGGCCGCCTCTGTCCCCGGGGAGAACCCAACGCCAGGTGTCTATGGATGTGCAGCGGAAGAAGAAATGGACCAACCTCACCATTGGCCTCCTTTTCCTGTCGGGAGGGATTGAGTACGGTGAGCTTCCCTGGGCATGGGATGGGGGGGGAGGGGGGAGTACCAGGGGAGTGTTTGGACCCTGGATACAGGCTTGACAATTTTATATATAGTTTCATCACACACACACACACACTCCCCTACACACGTACATCTACAGTGGTACCTCGGGTTACAGACGCTTCAGGTTACAGATGCTTCAGGTTACAGACTCCGCTAACCCAGAAACAGTACCTCGGGTTAGGAACCTTGCTTCAGGATGAGAACAGAAATTGCACACTGGGGGCGCGGTGGCAGCGGGAGGCCCCATTAGCTAAAGTGGTACCTCAGGTTAAGAACAGTTTCAGGTTAAGAACGGACCTCCGGAACGAATTAAGTTCTTAACCAAAGGTACCACTGTATACGCGGTTTTTTAGGAGGCTGGTCTCAACATGCTGGTGCTGTTTTTGTGTGTATTATTAGATTTGGTACCCCACAATTTTATATGTCGCTTGATCTCTCCCTCCCTCCCCCCCTCACACGCATGCACATATCTACACACGCCAGGGGTGCCAACTTGAATAAAATATGGGGGGGGTGCAGGTAAGCCCTGCCCCATGTAATCTGTCCCAGGATGCGGCACACACACACCATTTGAATGGCAATGCCCATCCCATCAACATGGGGGACACCCACCTCAAATATTTTACTGGTGGGGGGGGGGTCAAAGGGACCTCATCTCTTATGAGTTGGTTCCTATGACACACACACACACACACACCATTTTAGTTGAAGCTGGTCTCATCATGCTGGTGTTTACTACGTAGTATTTTTACTACGGCTTTACAGCTCTGGTACCCAGGTCTCCAGTCCAAAAAGGCTCCAGGAGTGACTTGCATTTGAGCAAAACAAAACAGCCCCTGCTCTGGTGCTTATAAGCTAAAGACACACACAGCACAAAGGGGAAAGGGAGGCTGTGCCAAGAGGTCCTCCAGAAAGGGCTCCCTTGCTGCTGAAGTAGCGCACTCTGCCCCTAGGAAGCTCAGGTTTTAAGGGGAGGAGCTTGATGATGGAGGAAGTCCAGTTTGCTTGGACCCTCCTTGGCTTGATCCTCTGATCCATGGGTCAGCAACCTTTTTCAGCAGGGGGCTGGTCCACTGTCCCTCAGACCTTGTAGGGGCTGTACTATATTTTTTTTTTGGGGGGGGGGAATAACACATTCCTATGCCCCACAAATACGCGGGTGGCGCTGTGGGTAAAAGCCTCAGCGCCTAGGGCTTGCCGATCGAAAGGTCGGCGGTTCGAATCCCCGCGGCGGGGTGCGCTCCCGTTGCTCGGTCCCAGCGCCTGCCAACCTAGCAGTTCGAAAGCACCCCCGGGTGCAAGTAGATAAATAGGGACCGCTTACCAGCGGGAAGGTAAACGCCGTTTCCGTGTGCGGCTCTGGCTCGCCAGATGCAGCTTTGTCACGCTGGCCACGTGACCTGGAAGTGTCTCCGGACAGCGCTGGCCCCTGGCCTCTTAAGTGAGATGGGCGCACAACCCCAGAGTCTGTCAAGACTGGCCCGTATGGGCGGGGGTACCTTTACCTTTACCTTATGCCCCACAAATAACCCAGAGATGCATTTTAAATGAAAGGACACATTCTACTCATGTCAAAACACGCTGATTCCCGGACCATCTGTGGGTCGGATTTAGAAGGCAATTGGGCCGGATCCAGCCCCCAGGCTTTAGGTTGCCTCCCCATGCTCTGATCTAATGCAGATTTCGTAGAGAGATTCTCATCTTTATTGCATGTTCCAGAAGTGCACATTGAGTGTTTTGAGGTTTTTGTGCCTCTGCCAGTTGTTCAGCATGCCTGCCTTGACAAGATCCTGGCCTGTAGATAATCAAATGAATTGCGTGGTTAAGTTTGAGAAGGTGCAGTTCTTTAGCCCTGAACTTGCCACACACACCTGCTTTGCTTCCTGCTTCTGCCATTCCCAGATAGGTGGGAGGAGGTGACTGTAAGAAGTAGTTTGCCGTGCTCATCACTTAGAATCTTAGAGTTGGAAGGGACCCGAGGGTCATCTAGCCCAACCCCTGCAATGCAGGGATCTCAGCTTAAGCATCCATGACAGATGGCCATCCAACCTCTGCTTAAAAACCTCCAAGGAAGGAGAGTCCACCACCTCCTGAGGGAGACCGTTCCACTATCGAACAGCTCTTACTGTCAGAAAGTTCTTCCTGATGTTTAGTCGGAATAATCTTTTTCGTAACTTGAATCCATTGGATCAAGTCCTGTGCTCTGGAACAGCAGAAAGCAAGCTTGCACCCTCTTCCATGTGCGAGCCCTCCAGATATTTGAAGATGGCTATCGCATTTCTTCTCAGTCTCCTCTTTTCCAAGCTGAACGTACCCAACTCTCACTTCTCACCACTTTCAACCTGTGCGGTTGGTTTGCTCCGGCAGAGTCCAGAATGCAGTGCCTTGTGAATTTGTTTTCCAGTTGCAAATGGTTTTATCTCAGGAAACTAGTACAGTGGTACCTCAGGTTAAGTACTTAATTCGTTCAGGAGGTCCGTTCTTACCCTGAAACTGTTCTTAACCTGAAGCACCACATTAGCTAATGGGGCCTCCTGCTGCTGCCGCGGCGCCGGAGCACGATTTCTGTTCTCATCCTGAAGCAAAGTTCTTAACCTGAAGCACTATTTCTGGGTTAGCGGAGGCTGTAACCTGAAGCGTATGTAACCTGAAGCGTATGTAACCCGAGGTACCACTGTATCTGCATCCTAACCTTTGACTTCTAGAAGCTTGCCAATTGTCCTTGGATAGGTTGGCTGTTTGGGTTGCTGTTCCTCTCCCCTGTGAATGAGATGTGGTTAGCAGGCCACACTCCAGAGTAAGGACATAATAGGCTTGGGCTGCAATATGGAAATGTTTTTGGGGTAAGATGCTGGAGTAAGCATGAATGGAGTCAGAGGGGATAGGCAGTAGGGACCACAGGTGCCATCAGCCTCAGACAGCATTGCCAAGGTCAGGGGTGAGGCCCGTGTTGTTGGACTACGGCTCCCTAGTCCTCACATGGGCTCCCCCTTGAATGTGAGATTCCTCCCACTGTTCTCAAGGCGCTGGAAGCAGCAGCCTTGCAGAAACTGAACAGGCCTGGGTCTTTGTCAGTGCCAGGATAGAAGAAATTCTGAAAGCCCTCACGGAAGAAAGCCAAGAGACAAATGTACAAAATCAATAATAGTTGCAGGACACTTGGAGGGATAAAGCTTAGAAAAACGTGACTAAAGGCGGACGTGATAAAGATCCCTAAAATTAGGCATAGTGTGGATAAAGTCGACAGAGGGGAGGTTTTTCTCCCACTCTTGTAATACTTGATCTTGGTGTTAAGAAAAGGAAACTCAAAATGATCAAGGGGATGCAACAATTTCCCTGTGAGGAAAAGTTGCAACCTTGGAGGATTTAAAATTTAGAGAATAGGTTGATGTTTCATTTAGAGAAAAGGTGAGACGAGACATGACTGTGAGTTGTACAAAATTATGCCTGGAAAGTGGAGAGAAACATGTTCTTCATTATTATTATTATTTATTTAAAAAATAAATAATTTTTTAAATTATTTAAAATGTAGACTTAAAATTATGTAGATTTCAAGGCAGTTTGCGACGTAAAAATACAAGATAAAAACACAAAACACATAATAAAACCAAGAACACGACACACACAAACACCAACCAACCAATAACAGCCCCACCCATAAGACTAGAACTCATGAACATTCAGTCAAAGACTTGATGAGCGGGAGAGTCTGTGACAGGGAAGTCCACAATCAGAGGCAGAAGCTTGAGCAGGAGAGGAGGGAGGCCAAGAGGCAGAGATGAGTCCCACTGGTGAAGAGTCCTGGTGAAGAGCCCCCCCCCCCCCCCGCTGCGACATGCTCTCCTGCCACCTGGTCTCCCAGAACCAGAAGAGTCATGAAAAGGGCGGGGAAGTTAGCTTCACACAGGCACAGTCTCCTATTGCTTGGGAGAAGCCCTGGAGGGGAGGGCAGGTGGGGACTTTCAGTCTCAGCAAGTGATCCATGGGTATGTTAAGCTTTTTTATAGGAAGACCCCAAAACTGTTGAGCTTTTTTGGGGAAAACCTAACAGCAAAGTAGTGATTTTAAGCTTTTTGAGCTGCTTTTCCTATCATGTTGCCACACATCCAGGTTTTCCTTGACTTTTTGCCAATTCGGCAAAACCTCCCCTCGACGCCATTTTTACAACCCAAAAACCAGCACAGCAGGAATTTTCCTGACGTATGGCAAGCAAGGGAGGAGCTGCTGTGCTCATGAGACACTCCACCCAGTCTGTGCAGATCAGTTTCTTGCTAATAAACAACTTCAGCTTGCAGGGTGTCACTCCTGATATTAATGGCTCCTAGTCACCATGATGTATTCAGGAGCAGAGGCAGCCTGCCACGTGGAAAGGTGTTGGTTGGGGAGCAATAATGGCAGAGGACTGTTGCCTTCAAGCCTTGCTTGCCACTGTGGGCAGCAGGATGGGTGAACCAGTTAGACCTGTGGCCTGACCCAGCAGAGCTCTGCTTTTGCATAAGAGTACGGGAAGCTGCCTTGTATGATGTCAGACCGTTGGCCCATCTAGTTCCATCTTGTCTGCACTGGCTGGCAGTGAAACTCCAGGGTTCCAGGAATTGAATCTTTCCCAGCCATACAGGCAGCCCTGTTCAGGGAAGTTTTTAATGTGTGACATTTTAATGTATTTTTAATCTTTGTTGGAAGCTGCCCAGAGTGGCTGGGGAAACCCAGCCAGATGGGCAGGGTACAAATAATAAGTTATTATTATTATTATCATTATCATTATCATTATTATTTATTATTATTATTATACTTGGAAATGCCAGTAGGGATTGAACCTGCAACCTGCCTTGCGTTCTCCTTGCAGCAAATGCTGCTTGCGTGTTCTTTGATTAAGTGTGGGATGCAGATGTAACAATATAACCAATAGGTTGCTTCACAGGGTTTTGAGAGTTTTTTTTTACAAAAGAGAAGCACATGTTGTAACAGTGAGCATAACATAACATAACATACAACAATACAAACAACCAAATAAAAGACTTCCTTTATCCTGTATCTGGCTTCCTTATTTACCTGTACTTCTTATAAACTGTTTCCTTTATGAATACTTATTAAGGTTTTTCTAATTATAACTTAAATGTCCACAAAGTCTCCTGCAGACATTAATTGAAACAAGTACAGGTATGTATTTTAGGGCGCACCTTTGTGAAGTGTTTTGTGAACTGGAAAAAGGAAACTATGCCAGCAAAAAAGGAATGGCTAGATTAACAGAGGCAATTTGAGATCACACTAGACAAGAGTTTCAGAAAGCATGGGGGAAATGCAGAGACCACGGGACAACTCTCATGGCAACGACCTGTAGCCTCTCATACATAGGAGGCAACTCCTAGGGGCTGAGGGGTCTTTGGCCCCCCCAATAAAATATTTGAGGGGACTGCCCCCCCAAAACAGATGGGCATTGCCAAACAAATGATGTGCATGTAGCGTGTCATGTGATCGATTGTGTGGGGTGGGGCTTGTCCCTTCCCCAATATTTTATTCAAGACCCCTGCTCTCATAACTATAAAGCCTTAAACCTTATAAAGCCTTAAATGGCTCAGAACCGCAATGCCTCAATGAGGACCTCTTTCCATATGAACATACCCAGACCTTGAGATCATCATCTGAGGCGCTTCTTTGTGTGCCTCCTCCACAAGAGATCTGGGGGGCGGCAAGACGAGAACGGGGCCTTCTCCGCAGTGGCTCCCAGTTTGTGGAACGCTCTCCCCAGGGAGACTCGCCTGGTGACTTCATTATACACCTTTCGGTTACCAGCAAAAATGTTCCTCTTTAACCAGGCCTTTGGCTGACTGACATCCAATGTCCTTTTAAAATGTGTTGGGGGTGATTGGGTTGTTTTGGTATTTACTTTTATTATGTATTTTGTGTTTTTATGTTGTAACTGCCCTGATACCCACGGGTATGCAAATTTAAATAGCAATAATAGTAATCATAATATTTTCTGGAAGCCACTTCTGATGGATGCTCTTTTTGATACTTTTCTATTTACTGGAGTTTATTTTTTCGCCTCTCCGCAGCTGTGATCCTACCCACCCTCTGGGCTTACCTGCAAACTCTCAATGCTGAGCCCTACTTCCTGGGCCTGGGCATCTCTGCCTTTAGCTTTGCCGGGCTGATCACAGGCCCGCTGTTTGGATATTGGTCTGACCGTACCCATAAAACCAAGGCCATCATCCTCTTCGCCAACTTGTTTCAGATAGCAGGTAAGTGGGGGCTGCATTGAGAGTGGCGGCGGCAGGGGCAGTGGTTGTGTTTGGGGTCAAAGCATGCAGGGAGGCTCCAGTCCCCCACGGTAGGTGGAAGCTAAACTTTGCTGGAAACCACAGGAGAGGAGGGGGCTCTTGTTCTTACTTGTGGGTTTCCCATAGGCATCTGGTTGGCCACTGTGAGAACAGGATCCTGGATGGGCCATGGGCCTGATCCAGCAGGCTCGTCTTATGTTAAGGGACTTAAAATGTCAGATCTCTTCCAGGCGACTTGCCAAGTGATGGCTGCATCTTGCACTTTCCGGCTTATTTTCCCCATCACTTTCCTTACAGCAAAGAGTATCCCTTGGGGGAAGTGGGTTTGTTGCACAAGAGCGCAGAGTCCACCCTAACCACGCAAGCTGAATCGACCAGCATGTGATTGAATCCCACCTGCAAAAAGAGGGGGATCCCAGAAAAAAGGGCGTGTAGACTCGAATTGTGCTCTGCTTTCGAGTGGATTGCTATATTGGGGAGAAAGTTGCTTTCTCTAGAGCAAGTTGATTTCATTTAGCCTGGTTTCCTCTGCAACTCATGCTTGTCTTTCCTGTGTCTTCCGCTTCCAGGGAACTTCATGTACTTTGTTGGTGGTTCCAAATGGATGCTTCTGAGTGGTCGGCTGGTGGCAGGTAAGTGATGGAGTGGAGGGTGTATTTATGTTTGCGCATGTGAGATTTTTTTGAATAATAGTTGCATTTGGGTGGTGGGTCTTGGAGAAAAACACTGTGTTTCCTCTTTTCTAAAAATAAATTGGGGTGTGAATGTATTTTTGTTGTTGTATTCTAATGGGGAGGGAAAGAGTATTCCTTTAATTTTATTTCCTCCCCCCCCCATTTAAAATGGATATCGCTGGAGGGGAATTTCGCATTCTTGTTTTGCTTTGCTTTTTTGCCCCGCCCACTTCCACCTAGAGCCCTGCCCACTGTTGGAATGCACTCTCCCAAAGGTTTCCTGCACTTGAACCCAGCCTGCAGGCCAAAAGTAGCCCCCCCCATGCTTTAGGGATGGTTTTGTCATACATACACAGATCATTTTATCTGTACGCTGCCTTTCCATACTTAGAACCATACTCAGGGCGTCTTCCAACATGAAGAAATTTGCGTAATTACAAATACAGTGGTACCTTGGCTGTAGTTCCTGCACGCCACAAACCAGGAAGCGAGTGTTCTGGTTTGAGAACATTTTTTGGAAGCTGAACATCTGACATGACTTCCAATTGAGTGCAGGAAGCTCCTGCAGCCAATCAGAAGCTGTGCCTTGGTTTTTGAACCATTTCAGGAGTCGAACACACTCTTGGAACGGATTGAGTTCGATAGCCAAGGTACCACTGTAGAACAAAAGTGGTCATAAACAATAAATGAAACGCTTCAATAAGTACACAACCAATCTGAGAATGATTTACCCACAAGTCAGAATAAGATCTAAAAATAAAGATAAATAATTAACAGCCACAACTGGCCCCCACACCCAAACAATACCCCAGCCTAAGAGTCTGTTCAGTAGCCTTAGTTTTTTTTTTGTAGATGGAGTCAGTCCGGGGCATGCCTTCCCAGGCCAGGTGGAAAAAGCTCTGCAAGGCAGGGAGCAGGTCTTTCAGGACTTACAGCTAGGATGGCCTCTGTCCTCTGTCCCCGCTTCCTCCCTCTGACTCTTTGTACTTGGCCCTCCCCTGCAGGTGTGGGCACAGGAGCAGGAGCATCCATCTTTGGCTACCTCAGCCGAACCACCACGTCCCAGGAGCGCGCCACGGTGTTTGCGGCTGTCATGGCATGCCGGCAGGCTGGGCTACTCATCGGTAAGGCTGATTTCCTCTGCCCCACCCCTCTAAAAACCTTCAGTATATTCCTGTCTGCTATGGAAAGGGCTGGGTTAACCATTAAGCAAAATAAGCACGTGCTTAGGGCACCAAGGGAAGAGGGGGGGGGGCGCCACAGAAATTTTTCCATTGCTGGGCTTTTAACATTGATGGCTGCAAATGGCTCAGCTGAGTGTTCATTTTCTCAGTGGAAGTCTATTAAAAATCCCTAAAGAAGAAATATGCAACGAGGCAGGCTGGGTGCCTTATCTCAGTACTTAGTAAAGTATAGAAGCAGATGTGTTATGTAAGATTAGTTTTGAGGATCTGATCAATTAGAAAAAGGAGGAGAATGTTTTTCTCCCCCCCCTTTTAAAATAATTTTTTATTCAGTTTTACATATAATTTCCATAAATCATATAACATATGTTCATATCTTATACAATATTTTAGACTTCCATCAACTACATCTGAAGATTTTTTCAATCTTTATCACTTAATCTGCATTTCACTAATTTTGTTTCATTTCGACAAATCAAATTTTGTTCTGTGGTTTATTATTATTAATCCTTTGAATTAGATATGCTTGGGGGTACCAAAGTGCTCAGGTCCTCTAAAGGTTTTCATCCTGCCCTGTATATGCATTTCTGTGATTACCATACCTCCCTGGATGTCTGTGGGGACTCAGGTGGAAAGCAAAGGTAGAGATCAGTCCATTTGTGGACCAATTTTCCAATCCAGACCATTTGTTTAGTCTGCAATTGCCACGGAGAAGACGGAACACGCGGGGGGATGTGACTATCAAGGGTTAATGTCTACAGTGGCGGATCTCTGCCTCTGCTTTCAGGGGCAGCATGTCTCTGAATCCTAGTTGCGGGAATTCACATGTGCGGAGAGTTCTCTTGCTCTCAGGTCCTGTTTGTGCTCTTCTCATCGTCATGTGGCCGGCCACGGGGAGAGCAGGATGCTGGGACAGATAATTATTTAACCTGACCCAGCAGGTCTCTTCTGATGCTCTGAGGAACATGAACATGCAGATTAACTGCTTGGTATGGCATAACATGCTTGCTTTGTTTCATATGGAGCAAGCGGGAGGCATAATCCTCAGCCCTTCCCTGCTTAACCAGGAACAATTTATTTTTTATTACAAAACAGTGTGGAAGCTTTCAGAGGAACAAACTGGGTGCAGTGCAATGGTTGCAGTTTGAAATGCACACACCGAGAAGGAGAAAGGTGTCGGTTTTTTTAAAGCTGCAATACAAATGAAGGCTTATTTGGGCTTGTTTGTAGACCCAGTTCCTTGATATCCTGATGTAGCAAGTGCCTCTGCATGGAAAAGCAGTGTTTCTTTTCTTTTCATTTCACTTTTAATTTTTATACCGCCTTTCTATATTGCTGTACACAAGGCAGCTCACAAACTGAAGAAACAATAAAGTTTGCACACCTTATAGCAGTGTGATCCAGTACAGAAATGTCATCGTGAAAATGTAACAATAAAATAAACAAGTTATAGCAAATGAAGTAATACTCAGCCATCCATTAGAATATAATAGTACACAATAAGATTAAAGGTAAAGGTACCCCTGCCCGTACGGGCCAGTCTTGACAGACTCTAGGGTTGTGCGCCCATCTCACTTAAGAGGCCGGGGGCCAGCGCTGTCCGGAGACACTTCCGGGTCACGTGGCCAGCGTGACAAAGCTGCATCTGGCGAGCCAGCGCAGCATACGGAACGCCGTTTACCTTCCCGCTGGTAAGCGGTCCCTATTTATCTACTTGCACCTGGAGGTGCTTTCGAACTGCTAGGTTGGCAGGCGCTGGGACCGAGCAACGGGAGCGCACCCCGCCGCGGGGATTCGAACCGCCGACCTTTCGATCGGCAAGCCCTAGGCGCTGAGGCTTTTACCCACAGCGCCACCCGTGTCCCCGGTCACAATAAAATTAAATATCAGCAAATAATAACTAAACAGAAATGCATTCTTAACAATTACAATCAATAATTTCTAAACTATAATCTATAAAAGTAACAGTGCAGAAAATAACAACACAAAATTAAAAGCAAAGACACACAATGTATAAAAATATTTTTTTTTAAAATAAGAATAATCCCCGAACTCTCTTCCTCTCTTCCCAGCTGCTTCTTCTGTTCCTAAGTCATGGTCTGGGAAAGGCTGCTAGGGCTGGAGGGTTGGGCAAAGCAGGTGGGAAAAGCCATTTTCTGGTGGCTAGCACAAAGTCTCTTTCTCCCAGTATGTGCCTCAGCCTTGCAGATTAGCAGATAAAAGTTTCCAACCTTCTAAAAGGGAGTTGTGTTTCTGATCTGGCTTCTGCGGAGAGGAGGAGGCCCTCTTCCACAGCCAGAAGTGTAAAAGAACATACAAAGACCCTGCTTGGTCAGTACAATTTGGGCTTTTTTGTAGTGGTCAATCCCAGCCAGTGTCCTGGTCTCACGGTGGCCGACCAAATGTCCATCGGCAACCTGCGCCTCTTCTTGAAAGGATTGCTGCTACTGAGAATAGTGTGAGAGTGGGTGGGCAGGTCATGCCACAACAAGCTGAACAGGGAGGTTGCAGTCTGCGTGGCTCAGTTGGTTAGCACGTGGTGCTGATAATGCCAAAATTGCAGGTTCGATTCCTGTAAGAGACAGCGGCATATTCCTGCCTTGCAGGGTTTTGCATGATTCTCAGGGTCCCTTCCAACTCTACAGTTCTAAGATTCCAAGCTTTTGTACGTTGCTGCCATGCTGCTTTCAGACACCTGACTTGCCACTTTTGCCCCCCCAGGGCCAGCTTGTAACCTGTTCCTGCGCCTCTGTAACTTCCAGGTGGGGCCCTTCGTGGTCGACAAGTTCACATCGCCTGGGGTGAGTAGAAGCACTTTGTTAGAAACTATGTATAATCCAGCCTGGTGCATTTGATCCCATGGATGAGGCGAGCTCCTCTCCACAATGGTGCAAGGCCTGGCCCATGGATGAGGCAGGATGAGGCTCCCGCCTTGAGCGGCAGGAGCCCCAGCGGTGGTGCCCACCTTGCTTTCGCCGCCTGCCCATTCCAGCAGCACTGGCTTCCAGTGGGATCTCACGAAACGCCTGAGAACTTGCAAAGGAAACCTCGCCGAAAGTTGGCGCTGCTGCCAGCACTTTGCGGGCAACCGCTGTGCAATGCTGGTAGCAGCGGGGGCTTTGCACATTTCTCCTCAAGCGACAAAACAGGATGCGCCGCCCCTGCACATGGCTGTTTGGTGGATTGGGCAGGATGGGCAACGCCTTTTCAAATTGCAGGTAGGGTGGAAAAGGAAGACGTCCCTGCGATTGGAAAATCAAGCGAATCGGCTAAAGGACTGGGCTGGAACCGTTGTCCCTGGCACACTAGACTTCTATGTGCAGGGCGTTCTCCTGTGTGGGGGATCATTTAAATGTATCAGAATAGTCCCAAAGTAGTGCAGTTCCCACCACTTTATGTCAACAGCTTGTCCTACACTCGAGTAGGACCCTGGCAGAGACACATGCCCGACTGGCATGTTCTCTCCCTCCTGGTCTTTCGTTCGGGAGCTTCAAAAGCTTTCTTCAGCCCGAACATCACAGCAACTGATGCCAACAGATACTGGCACAGTTAGGGATCCACAGAGTCTTTGCAGCTTGTGTAACAGACCTCAGCATTTTGGCTAATCTACTTTATTTACATATAAGCACACACGGAGCACTGCAACATGGCTCCCTCTCTCTCTAGCATCAGACAGCAAAGAGAAAAAGAACAAAGGACAATAGTCCCACTTCACGGAACACAGTAACACAAACATCCTGTCTTTGTCACTTCCCACTCTGTGGAGTCAAAACATACACCGTCATGTGAAAGACAACAATCCCATGACTGCAATCATGGAGCAGGAATTCTAACACTTAATTCCTGCCTAATTCTGGTGCAAATACACCCAGTCTAACTTTGGGAGGAGTTATTTGTCTTTGTAAGAGGCTGGAGGAAAGTCAGAATGGTTATGCTCTGACTCTGTGGCTGGAAAACACTGGAGGGGAAGCATCAGCCACCTGCCCCCAACTATTCAACTTTTTAATTGTTATTTCATTCAATGTGTGACAAGGCTGGCAGAGCATTGCAAAAATTCAACAAAAGAGAAAAAGAAAAGCATTTGAGCCCGGTCAGGTGTCAAGTAAAGAGATGAAAGATAAGGGGAAAAATATATCAGAAAGATCTTGTGCAAAAGAGGCAAAGTGGCAGTATTCCAACATAAGACAGAAACAGGGGATCAAAGACTCATATAATCAAAACCAGCACTAGATGAAATCATATTTGGATGGAATGTGCCGACTGTGTCATTAAATAAGGTGCAAAAATAATCTCCAGGCAGCTGCAAAGTCCCAACAGATCCGCTTCCTCTCTGAGAATCCAGACTTAGTGAGTGCATTTATTCTGATGCGGCTATAAAGAAGGCTTTTAAAACCCCAGTTTGTAATAGACTTCGTGGAAGTGTCCTTCTAGTCTTGAGCTGTTAGCAAACGAGTTATCAGTATCTTTTCTCCTTAATAGTGTTCTAGCTGGAAGTTTGCAAAATTATACGTGGCATAGAGAAAGAGGACGCTGAGACGCTTTTCTTCCTCTCTCCGAACACTAGAACTGGGTAGCTGTGTTGATCTGATGCAGTCAAAATAAATAAATAAAATTTTAAAATAATCAAAAAAACAATTTTTTATTTTTTACTAGAACTGGGGGACATTCAAAGTTTCAGGGCAGATAAATGAAATTAGTTCTCCATGCAGCACATTGCTGGAACTATGGCACTCGGCCCTCCAGGAGGCAGTGATGACCAGCAGCTTGAATGGCTTTAACAGAGGAGAAGAGAAATTCATGGAGGCGGAGAAGGCTATCGATGGCTCCTAGCCACAATGGCTATGCTCTGCTTCCACAGCTGGAGGCAGCCATGCTTCTGAAGTATCCCAGTTCCTGGAAACCTCAGGAGAGGAGAGTGTTCTTGTGCTCAAATCCTGCTCACTGGTTTCCCACAAGCATCAGGATGCTGGAATAGATGGGCCATTGGCCTGATCCAGCAGGCTAGCTGTAAGTGCCTGTGTCCTTTTAAATATATATATATTCTTTATTGGAAAAAGGGTGGATCCAGACACAGGGGGGAAACGCTATAAATAAGTCAGAAACTAGATTGCTATAACAAAAGGAATAAAATCTCTATGGAAAACCGCGTTTAAAATTTCCTGCTCTCTGGCACCATCTGGTGTTGCATTTTATAGTGCATTCAAATCAGTGTTTCTTTACTAATGTAGCTGAGTCCATAGAAAGTACGGAACAACAAGTGCACAAAATAAGAAGAAACAAGAAATAGAAAACAAAACAGAAAAAAAGATATTGTGTACATTACAAAAATGGGAGGAAGCTTGTTGTTGTAGCAAACTACCCTGTGTTCCTCCGATGAAGGGTAGCACATAAATTTGACAAATGAATGCTCTGGGTGATGCACTCATGCTCAGGCTTTTCTTTCCTCCATTCCTTCAGATCTTCATGTGCATGGTGTGGCTGCTTCTGCAGATCATTGTTGCGACGCTGTACTACGATCTGCCGCCACCGCCGTTGGGGCACTCCTCAAAGGCCCCGGCGGCGGCTGTGCGGGACGCTGTGGAAGAGGAGGAGGAGAAGCCTCTTGTGCAACATGAGGAGGCAGCGGAGAGCAGCAGCTACGGCAGCACCTCCACAGAGCATCGGGAAGCTGTTTCGGGTGACGAGGTTCGGTATGTGCCCAATGGGCACTTGGCTGATGAAGAAGCCTCTTTGGAGAAGACTCCCGCCTATAATTTCAGCTCCATGACAGGTGAGCTCTCTTCTGTGGTGGGTATGGGGCCATCAAAGACAGGGGACCACATTCCCTTCCAGGCAGCCTTGCAGGGGCCACATGGCAGTGGTGGGCGGGGCCAGAGGCAAAAGTGGGAGGAGCAGTGGGTGGGGCTTTTACCTTTCTGCAGTAGACTAGTGTCTACCCTCCTCTCTCTGCCCTCACTGCAGGTGGTAGTAATAATAATAATAATAATAATAAATAAATAAATAATAATAATTAATTTATTTGTACCTCACTCATCTGACTGGGTTTTCCCAGCCACTCTGGGTGGCTTCCAGCATATTTGTTGTTGTTGTTGTTGTTTAGTCGTTTAGTCGTGTCCGACTCTTCGTGACCCCATGGACCAGAGCACGCCAGGCACTCCTGTCTTCCATTGCCTCCCGCACCTTGGTCAAACTCATGTTCATAGCTTCGAGAACACTGTCCCACCATCTCGTCCTCTGTCATCCCCTTCTCCTTGTGCCCTCCATCTTTCCCAACATCAGGGTCTTTTCCAGGGAGTCTTCTCTTCTCATGAGGTGGCCAAAGTCTTGGAGCCTCAGCTTCAGGATCTGTCCTTCCAGTGAGCACTCAGGGCTGATTTCCTTAAGAATGGATAGGTTTGATCTTCTTGCAGTCCATGGGACTCTCAAGAGTCTTCTCCAGGACCACAATTCAAAAGCATCAATTCTTCGGCGATCAGCCTTCTTTATGGTCCAGCTCTCACTTCCATACATCACTACTGGGAAAACCGTAGCTTTAACTATACGGACCTTTGTTGGCAAGGTTCCAGCATATATGAAAACACAATAAATAATAAATCATTAAAGATTAAAAAGCAAGACACACGGCTTGGGGGAGAGCCCCGGGGGCCCGGTCCATGGCCACATCTGATCCTTGGACCCGAAGTTCTCCATCTCTGATTCAAAGCTTGCCCGACAAGAAGGCACATGGAGAAGGCTAGAGCTGAGCCTCCCTTTTCTGGTCTGCAAGTTCAGACAGTTGGCATGTTGGAGGATGCTGCCTCAACTTTCCCCCCATCACCATCTCATAAAACAAGCTAACCAATTTCCAAATGTTCTGGTGGGGACATAGTAGCTCTCATGGCAGAAGAGGGCCTTGAGAATAGAGCATCTTCCAAGGAAAGGACAAAATGGGAGGCAGGCAGGGGCAAAGTTAAAGTTAAAGTTAAGTTTATTTAAAAAATAATTTTACAAGTCCTTGTTTCTCAGTTTGATCCTTTTACCTGCCTTTGTATGTTTCATCGTATTTTATGCATTGTGACCTGCCATTATTTTTTATTGATTACTGCTTAACAATGCTTTATTGTTAAGTGTAAACTGTTTAATTATTATTTGCTGATACTTAACTTTACTGTTAACTATTATATTCTAATGGATGATTGAATATTGTTTCATTTTATATTAGTTGTTTATTTTAAAGTTAAGTTTTTATTGTGACTTTTTTTTGTATCAGATCAGATTGTTGTGAGGTGTGCAATCTTTGTTGTTTCTTCAACTTGTGAACCACCTTGTGGTACAGTAATAGAAAAAGGTGGTATACTGATTAAAAGTGAAATGAAATAATGTCCCATCCAGCGTTGTTTTGGCTCTTCTGTGCCTCAACGAGATTTGTCATTGCAGAGTACCTGAGGGAAGAGGTGGTGGTTCTGCTGACAGCTCAGTTCATTACGCTCTTCAATCAAACTGCCCTAGAGGTAGGTGACATTTTTGACGCGTTGCATGCTCAGGCAAATCCCATGCTCATTGTATAGATTGTCCCTCTCCCTGGCTGGTTCTCACACTACTTATCCCTTTGGGAAGCGCCAATTATTTCTCATTATGTCTTTGTTGCTGGTATTTGTTTTGTTTCCCGCCCTGCACCTCAAGTCCTCCCGGCTGGATTTGCAGCAATTTGTAACGCAAAATTAAAATCGGTGCCAAGCAATGAGGTCAAAAGAATAGGGTGGGTCCTAATCTATAGGCGTCAAAGGCCAGAGAAAAGAGGAACATCTTCAGCAGATGACGAAAGCTGTACAGTGAAGATGTTAGGTACACCCACAGACACTTACGGACTCATTGTTAAAACCGTGTTTATGGAAGACAATCTTACTCGGCTACGAGTGATTGCCAAAGAAGGGGAGGGGGCGCCATAGCTTAGGAGCTGCCCCAGAAAAAGCCATATCCCAGATCCCCATTTCCTACGTCTCTTTAGTAGTAGTAGTAGTAGTAAAGGTAAAGGGACCCCTGACCTTAGGTCCAGTTGTGGCCGACTCTGGGGTTGCGGCGCTCATCTAGCTTTATTGGCCGAGGGAGCTGGCATACAGCTTCCGGGTCATGTGGCCAGCATGACTAAGCTGCTTCTGGCGAACCAGAGCAGCACACGGAAACGTCGTTTACCTATTTATCTACTTGCACTTTGACGTGCTTTTGAACTGCTAGGTTGGCAGGAGTAGTAGTAGTAGTAATTTATTATTTATGCCGCAACCATCTGCCTTGGTTTTCCCAGCCACTCTGGGTGGCTCCCAACAGAACATTAAAAACACGATAAAAAAAAAATCAAACATTAAAAACTTCCCTAAACAGGGCTGCCTTCAGATGTCTTCTAAAAGTCAGATAGTTGTTTATTTCCTTGACATCTGCTGGGAGGGTGTTCTACAGGGCGGGCACCACTACCAATAAGTCCCTGTGCCTGGTTCCCTGTAGCCTCACTTCTCGCAGGGAGGGAACCGCCAGAAGGCCCTCAAAGCTGGACCTCAGTGTCTGGGCTGAATGATGGAGGTGGAGATGCTCCTTCAGGTATACTGGGCCGAGGCCATTTAGTGTGGTGGTGGAACATAAAGGGGGCCATTGGTTTCCCCTATGCTCCTGGATGCTCACGTACGTTTTCTTCCTCTAGACAATGGTGACCCCAATCACCCAGAAGTTCTTGAATTTTGGGGAGCTGGAGAACAGCATCATGTATTTCCTCTGCGGTGTGGAGGTGAGTGCCAAGACCTATGGCAAAGAGCCCTCAGACGAGGGACCAAGGTGAGAGTATCCCTCTGGGTACTTTCTTCCCCCCTCCTTAAAATGTGACTTTGTCTGACTTCTTCAGAACGGAAAGTTGATTTTGAGGGGGATGTCAGTTTCTGCAATGTGTATATTTGTGTGTAAGCGTGATCCCTGCCCAATTTCTCCAACTGTTGCCACTGGTTAAACAGGTTGGGCAGGCTTTTAAACTGTATGCAAACCTCCGAACCTGTTAACTTTGAGAGAAAATGTGATAAGGTTATTTACCACAAGCCACCCCTTTCCAGTCTCAGGGTGGCGTGGGAAGAGGTATCTAGCCCTGGTTACTCATCTGGTTAGCGATACTAGAGAGGGAAGCTAGTATCTAGTGTCCTAATAATTGAAAACTCAGTGTAGCAAAGAGGGCATATTTTCTCTGTTTGGGGAAAGCTGTTTTGCTTTAAGCCACTTCCTCCAAAAGGACTTTGAAGGGGTCCCCCCCGTGACAGCTGAATTTATTCATCCATTCATTAAATTCATATACCTCATCAGAAGATATCAGGGCAGTTCACAGAATAAAATCCAAGATAAAACACAAGCAAACAATTAAACCGAAACAACAACAAAAATAATTGCTCCCAACCCTTCCCACAGATATGTTTAAAAGGCTGTAAGATATTAATCCGCCAAAGGCTTGGTAGAAGAATGTTTTCACCTGGCACCTAAAAATATATACAGTGGTACCTCTGGTTGTGAATGGGACCTGTTTCGGAAGCCCATTTGCAACATGAAAAGAGCGCAAACCACAGCGGCGCGTCTGCGCACGCGCGGGTAGCGATTTGCCACTTCTGCGCATGTGCATGACATCATTTTGTGCTTCTGCGCATGTGCAAGTGGTGAAACCTGGAAGTAACCTTTTCTGGTACCTCCGGGTCGCCGCTGGACGTAACCTGAAAGAACGTAACATGAAGCAGACGTAACATGAGGTATGACTGTAATGAAGGCACTAGGCGAACCTCCCTGGGGAGAGCATTCCACAAACGGGGAGCCACTGCAGAAAAGGCCCCGTTCTTGTATTGCTGACCTCCAGACCTCTCGTGGAGGAGGCACACGAAGAAGGGCCTTCAGATGATGAGTACAGAGTCTGGGATGGTTCATGTGGGGAGAGGTGGTCCTTGAGGTACTGCGGTCCTGACTGGTGCTTATACCTTTGAAGGCGAATAGGTGCTGGAAGAGCAGCTTCAAAGGAAGGTGCTGTTACTGCTGATTGACAGGCTGGTTATGGCAACCTCCTTTAACCCCCGGCAAAATTGGGTCACCTGTCGTCATTATGACATTGCCAAAGTTGGCTACCGGGAGTAAGGTATCAGTCCATCAGCCAGATCCAGTTCTTCATCCCTACTTTCATAGATCTCCCACTCCCTGCCATGATTCATTTTCACCAAGTGTCTGATAAACTGATAACTAAGGCTTAGCTATTTTTGTGGGCGGTGTATGCACCTCTTGACTGCTGTACGTGGGTCTGCCCTTGAAGACAGCCTGACTTTGAATCCAGGGTTATATAATGCTGGGTTTCGGTTGACAACAATCCGTTTCCAAGCCAAATTCAAGATGCTCATGGCTGTTTCTTTTTTAAAACATCTCTTTACAGGAATTTTTAGTATGGGGGAAAATATTATGACACATATAGCAACAGGCTATCAAGAATTTAAAACCAGGATAAGTGCAAACTAAGGAAAAATCACCTGGAAAGAGTAACAGAAAAATATATAAATGAAAGAATAAGGAGTGTTTGTTGCTGTATTGTGTTTTTACTGTTTTTGTTGGGAGCCCTCCAGAGTGTCTGGGGCAACCCAGTCAGATGAGTGGCATAATAATAATAATAATAATAATAATAATAATAATAATAATAATAATCGGAATTATGCCAAGCAAATCATTAGACCTAATACAATGGAATAAGGATTTTCAATAAGAAATGTTGCAATATAGCATGGTAAAAAGTACTGTTTTTTATTTATTTTATTGATTTTATATTAAATGAATTTTTTAGTTATTACTTCACTTTATAAAACAGAGAGAACACTTACAACAACAAAGGAAAAATAATTTTTTTTTAAAGTAAAAAAACCTACAGCATAGACATACCATAGGAGTTGCTGGACATGAGTTAAAATAATGCAGTCCAAGTAAAGACTATCAGATCATCAACTACAGTTCTTGATTTGCCAGGCCTGGGGATGAAGGTTGTCTTGAAAATGATGGTTCTGCTGTATATGTTAAACCTTTAAGGTGTACGCAGCCTCCTTCTTGGTAGAAATGCATAGGATTGCACCGTTGATGTCTAGTCATGTGAGAAGTCAGTGATGCTCAAAATGGCCGTCTTCTCTCCCCTCTGCCTTCAGGTCATTGCTGGCTTCTTCCTGGTCCGCTGCCTGAGCACTCGCCTGTCTGACCGCATCCTCTTGGTCCTTGGCCTGGTCATCTGCAACATAGCCTGTGCTTGGTGCCTGTTCTTCCTGGTTCGGCCCCGAGGTAACGTTGCTGAGCTTCTAACAAGGTCCTTCCATGGTCCTGTTGATCCTCTTTGGTGAAACTGGTATCCTTGATCAACCCCATGCCTATGCGAAGTGGAAGCCAGCTCTGCCAGAATTCTCAGTTCCCATGCTGCAGTTGGGAAATGCTGCAGCTGGAATGAACTGGGAGAGCATTAAGAAGTGGTTCCAGAGCCAGGAGTGTTGAGATTCCTGCTTTGCCGGGGGTTGGACTAGATGCCCCTCGGCGTCCCGTCCACCTCTACAATGCTATAATTCTATGGCTGTGGACCTGGGAGCCTGGCGCTGCCCTCCAGATCTTTGTCTCGACCTTGAAACTCTCTTTAGGCCAAACCCGACATCCCTCACTGGCCCTGCTGAAAAGCTTCCTGCATGTTTTGATGGAAGGTGTATGTGTGTGTTTAGAAACCAGATTACAGTGCTACCTCTGGTTGCAAACCTGATCCATTCTGGAGATCTGGCAGCATCCCGAGGAATTTGCAACCGGAGGACCGCTTCTGCGCATGTGCGTGGCATGGTTTAGCGCTTCTGAGTATGCGCGCGGCACGTAGAGTGCTTCTGCACATGCGCACTTGGCGAAACCCGGAAAAATACTTCCAGGGTTTGCCACGTTCGCATCCCGAAGTTTCCGTATCCAGAGGGATATGTAAGCAGATGGTAAAATTTGCTTTAGATGCTCCGCCCACTTTTGCCTCTGGCCCACCCACCACTACTATCTGGCCCTCAGAAGCCTACCCAAAAGGGAATGCGGCCCTCAAAAAGGGTTCCCCATCCCAGATCTAAAACATTGGCTGCCAACCCAACATGATAAAACATGTGTTTATTTGTTTGGGTAACCAATTCTTATCTCTTTGTGCCTCCCCACCCTCTTCTGGCATCCATCTGTCTCTGGAGACAATGTGCCTTTGGGGTGGAGATTTACAGCGCCTGTTGTGGCTGTAGAGACTGATAAAATTTTTGCAGATAAAATCGCTCAGATTCGGGAAGAAGTAGACTCCACCGTGGGAGCAGGGCCGGGGCGGGAGAGTGCTAGAGTCCTGTCTAGTCAAGTTGAGTGGGATCAATTCCAATCTGTTACCTCCGAGGATGTGGACAGGCTGCTTGGACGAGTGAAACCAACCACCTGTCTCCTGGATCCTTGCCCATCCTGGCTTATAAAAGCGAGCCGGGAAGGACTGGGCGATTGGCTTCGTGGGGTGGTGAATGCTTCCCTCCATGAGGGAGCCTTCCCAGACCCGCTGAAAGAGGCGGTTATTAAACCGCTTCTTAAAAAACCATCTTAAGATGCGGCCACGATGGCCAACTATCACCCAGTCTCAAATCTTCCATTCTTGGGCAAGGTCATTGAGCGAGCGGTTGCCGAACAACTCCAGGCACGCCTGGAAGAAGCGGATCATTTGGATCCCTTCCAGTCGGGATTCAGGCCTCATCATGGGACTGAAACTGCCTTGGTCGCACTGGTTGATGATCTCCGGCGGGCTAGGGACAAAGGTGAGAGCTGTTTCCTAGTTCTGCTGGATCTCTCAGCAGCGTTTGATACCATCGACCATAACATCCTTCTGGACCGTCTTCAGGGGCTGGGAGCTGGAGGCACTGTCATACAGTGGTTCCACTCCTTCCTCCTGGGCCGTGTTCAGAAAGTGGTGGTTGGGGGTGAGTGTTCAGACCCCTGGGCTCTCACTTGTGGGGTGCCTCAGGGTTCTGTCCTCTCCCCCATGCTTTTCAACATTTACATGCAGCCGCTGGGAGAGATCATCAGGAGGTTTGGGCTGGGTGTTCATCAGTATGCGGATGATACCCAGCTCTACCTCTCTTTTAAATCAGAACCAGTGAGGGCGGTGAAGGTCCTGCGTGAGTGTCTGGAGGCGGTTGGAGGATGGATGGCGGCTAACAGATTGAGGTTGAATCCTGACAAGACAGAAGTACTGTTTTTGGGGGACAGGAGGCGGGCAGGTGTGGAGGACTCCCTGGTCCTGAATGGGGTAACTGTGCCCCTGAAGGACCAGGTGCGCAGCCTGGGAGTCATTTTGGACTCACAGCTGTCCATGGAGGCACAGGTCAAATCTGTGTCCAGGGCAGCTGTTTACCAGCTCCATCTGGTACGTAGGCTGAGACCCTACCTGCCCGTGGACTGCCTCGCCAGAGTGGTACATGCTCTGGTTATCTCCCGCTTGGACTACTGCAATGCACTCTATGTGGGGCTACCTTTGAAGGTGACTCGGAAACTACAACTAATCCAGAATGCGGCAGCTAGACTGGTGACTGGGGGCGGCCGCCGAGACCATATAACACCGGTCTTGAAAGACCTACATTGGCTCCCAGTACGTTTCCGAGCACAATTCAAAGTGTTGGTGCTGACCTTTAAAGCCCTAAACGGCCTCGGTCCAGTATACCTGAAGGAGCGTCTCCACCCCCATCATTCTGCCCGGACGCTGAGGTCCAGCGCCGAGGGCCTTCTGGCGGTTCCCTCATTGCGAGAAGCAAAGCTACAGGGAACCAGGCAGAGGGCCTTCTCGGTAGTGGCGCCCACCCTGTGGAACGCCCTTCCAGCAGATGTCAAAGCTATAAACAACTACCTGACATTCAGAAGACATCTTAAGGCAGCACTGTTCAGGGAAGTTTTTAACGTGTGATATTTTACTGTATTTTTGGTTTTTATGGAAGCCGCCCAGAGTGGCTGGGGAGGCCCAGCCAGATGGGCGGGGTATAAATAATAAATTATTATTATTATTATTATTATACGGGAGAGACATGTTTTGTTGCAGCTGGGGCAGAGGGAGGGGTCTACTTGTGCTGCTGCAGATGCATGATGGCGTTTCTTCTCTCTGTGCTCCTCCCAGCGGTCATTCCTCCTCTGGCCACTGCTGTGGATGCACGACTTGACTGCCTCAGATCTTTAATGTGGGCTTTGGGGAGGGCATAAAACCCTTTGACTTGTGTGAGAGAGGCAGATGTAATTCCATCTTCCCTGGAGGTGTAAAAATACAGCTCACCTTAGCCTTCAGTTCACCAACCGTGTGACTTTGGTCTTTGGTTCATGCACCTGACACTGGGAGGTGAATGAGCATCCTCTGCTGCAAAATCCATAGGTTTAATTCTTGCCCATGTGGCTTGGAATGCAACGGCTGTGCCTGATGTTACACCTCACCATTCAAAAGGGCGCAAGGTTGCTTTGGTGCAAGGCCTGTTCAGACATAGCCCGGGCATCTTTCCCTGTGCGGCGCATGGCTGCAGCATGAAAGTGGTGATGCCATGTATATGTGAATTGCAGATCTTATGGCAATCGCATCGGACAGCTCCTTGTTTTCTCCAGTTCACACAGACAAGGGATGGGCATGTGTGCACAAGCTGATCCCTGCCCCCTCTCTGTGTTTAAGTGGGCTCCATCAAAAACCTTCCACTGGAGGCGATGGGAGGAAATGCCTTTCACCCTCAGTGGTCAACTCGCATGTACAGATCACCCCTTGCTGCTCTCCATCACCTCGCTCCTCCTCCTTACTGACTTCTGTGTGCTTTGCTTCTTCCAGGTACCTTTACCATCCTCCTTACAGAGTTGGTCGTGGGCGTTTTCCTGCAAGTCCTGGGCCTTCCCTTTGTTGCAGTCTCCCAAGTGTCGCTCTTTTCTAAAGTCACAGCCGAGAGAACACAAGGTAAGGCTGTGTCTCAAATTTTAAAGTTCAGAATAGAGTACAGCGGACGCTTGGGTTGCGAATGTGATCCATGCGGGAGGCACATTCGCAACCCACAGCGCAGCGTCTGCGCACGTGCGGGTCGAGATTCGGTGCTTCTGTGCATGTGCAAAGTGCAATTTAGCGTTTCTGCATATGTGTGAGCACTGAAACCCGGAAGTAACCCGTTCCAGTACTTCTGGGTTTCGGCGCGTCCGTAACCCGAAAACGTGCAACCTGAAGCGTCTGTAACCCAAGGTAAGACTGTAATTTCTTTGGAAGACAATAATTGGGGATCCGCCCAACATGACCAGTCCAACAAGCGAGGTGTGTTAGAACTGTGTCACTTCAGGCTGTAGGTGGGAATGCCACTGTTTTTAAAGCTCGTGTGTGTGTAGTTAGAAAACAAATACTGCGTAAAGGAAACAATAATGGACCAAGATAACTGGGAATAGAATCTCACCCTATTAATCTAATTTTATAGCTTGCAGGGAGTGTTCAGAACTGGCATTCTCTTCCTTCAGCCTGAAGTAATGCAGTCCCAAGCTGACACCTCAAGGCTCTGCTCATGTTCTGCTGCATGTTTGTATTGAACCATGTGCACACCTGTGTACACATTGATGTGTACTTCTAGTCTTGCATCATCTACTTTCAAAGAAGATTTATCTGTGTGTGGTTCTCCATGCCTTCCTACAAAGGTAGCCGCACACTCTTTGTGCTGGAGAAGGAATCTTTCAGTGCTCAGAGCACTGGAGAATTACAGGATCGTCGTGGTTTTTTGGGGGTGGGGAGAAAGGAACTATTCCTTAAATTCTAGCATTCAGTGGCTAAATAGTTCCAGTCTTGTTTTATGTCATGGGTGGATCCTCTGGTCTAGAGTGGTGCTAGAGCTCCCCCCTTGATCCAAGGTGCCTTAACTGCTATGCACCAGAATTGTGATTCCTGCATTGTGGGGGGCTTGGGCTAGATGACCCTTGTGACCCTCCTGATAGCTGTCTGGACAGGTGGCATCAAAGCAGAACTCTGCCGATACAGGAACACAACCACCTGCTCGCTGAAAGCTTCATATTGTGTCTAAAGCCATATCGGGGATAGATTTGTCCAGGTGAACTATCTCAAAAGGTCTAGCATCTCTCCCTCTGGCGTGGCTACCAGAGGGCAGAGTGTCTTATTTCTACCAGGATTTCAGTTTCCCAGGCTAGTATTCGCTTCCTGATCAGGCTGCGCTTTCCTGGGTCCAGTTACTGTGTGCGGCATTTGCCCTCTCCAGCCCTTGTTTGCAAGGCTTGTTTGTTGGCTGGTGTTGGATTGCTCTGTGGCCTGATTTCCCTTTTTTCTTTAAAAAGAAAAATGTTCTGCCTCTCGACACCTCCCACTCCTGAGAGCAGCAAAGCATTGTTGCAACATCCTTCCAGGCTTGGGAAAATGACTCGCCTGGGTTTGCTCTTTCTGCCTCGCTGTGCGCTTGTTGGCTTGTCAAGTAACGGAAGTGAAATTGCAGTTCTGTCTTTGCCACTGCTTGCGGTTGGTTGACATGGAGAGTTGACTGAGGCACAGCAGGCTGAAGGAGCAGCCAGGACTTTAGATGAAGCAAACACACAACCCAAATGGAATTTGTAACAAAGAACCGGCACTCGAGCTCATTTCCTCCTCCTCCTCCTGTCTATTTTCCTTTTGTGCTGTGTCTTTTTATTGTAAGCCTGATGACAGGGAATGATTTGCTAAAAAAAAAAAAAATCCTTATCAAACCAAGTCTGTCTTTTAAACTTTTTGTTTTTTTATCACACTAGTTGTGGTCATCAGTGGGCGCATTCGGTTGATTATGTTCTCATAAAGTTTTCTGTTTCTATCAATGTTTTCCCCTTTAATGAAGCAAATTCATGGGAATCCAGGCTCTGAATCATTTTTTCTTGGACCTGTGCATTCCATTTTAACCTTCTGTTTCCAAGTATCAGATAGTTCATTTTGTCCAATAATTTAGGAAAGGCAGGAGAAACGAATGATGTCAGAGATAACTCAAGTGGAAAGTGGTCACTTTCAGCTCTGGGAATTATCCTGAAGGTATCTCTGTTAATTAGCACATTATTAGATGTTAGGATATAATCTATGGTGCTAATAAATCCTCTGGGGGAGATAAAAGTAAAATAACCCTCTTGATCCCCTTGACCATAACAAAAGGTTATGCTTAATTATAAGTTCACAAAGATATTTCCCAGCACAGTTAGAGGTGGTGTCCATTGCTGCCCTCTGACAGATTTCAGGTTCTTCCTCCAAGTTTAGTCCAGATAATATTGTATTTTGTGGGGGAACAAGGCCGACCCAAGCATTGAAGTCGCCTCCTGAAACAAGCCGAGGGTCTTTAAAAAAATGGATATGGGAGCCTTTAGGGGCGGGACTGTAGACACTGATAAATATTCTTTAATATGCTTTCTTCTTCTACAGGGTTCAGTCAGGGTCTCCGTCGCTCTGTAGGGGGCGTGGCCACCATCCTTGGGCCTCTGTGGGCTGGAGGCTTGACCAACAACTTGGACATCATGCTGGGGGTGATGATGGGTCTGCTGAGTCTCCTCACGGTGAGTGCCCAGTGGCCTGGCTGTGGAACTGCATTCTGGGGTCACAGTGAGACCTCCCTATCCCTCCTTCCTCCTCTCCCTCTCCCCAGCCCCACTTTGCTGACCCACTCCTCTTCTCTGGCAGATCATGGTGGGGCTCTCATATGCATACCTGGTGGAGCCGCCCAGAAGATACGTGTCATCGCAAACATCTGAAGATGAATGCAGCTCATGACAGCCCCGGCGGATGGAGGTGCTTCTGAAGGAACAGAGAAGGTCCTGCTCACCCAGGTGAGAGCACATGTCTCCTCCACCATCACCCTGGTCTGATGGTTGAGCGTGTGGCTTCTCAAACTCCAGTAGCCAAGTGAGGCCTGGAGAAGCTGGCGATGGAGTCTTCCTGCAAGGAGATGCAGAATAATAATCATAATCATAATAAAATTAAAAATTTATTTATATCCCGCCCTCCCCAGCCGAAGCCGGGCTCAGAGCGGCTAGCAACAATAAAAGTAACACAGCATTCTAAAATCAATTCATTCTAAAATCAATTCAGAATCAAATCAATGGCAACCATTGGGCTAGAGTTCTGTGAGGATTACCAAAGGAGGGGGTCAGACTGTGCCTTGGCCAAAGGCCTGGTGGAACAGCTCTGTCTTGCAGGCCCTGCAGAAAGATATCAAGTCCTGCAGGGCCCTAGTCTCTTGTGACAGAGCGTTCCACCAGATCAGAGCCACAGCCGAAAAAGCCCTGGCTCTGGTTGAAGCCAGCCTAACCTCCCTGTGGTCCGGGACCTCCAAGATGTTTTTTTTTGAAGACCATAAGGTCCTCCATGGGACATACCAGGAGAGGTGGTCCCGTAGGTACGAGGGTCCTAGGCCGTATAGGGCTTTGAAGATTAAAACCAGCACCTTAAACCTGATCCTGTACCCCACCGGGAGCCAGTGCAGCTGGTATAGCACCGGGTGAATGTGATCCCGCAGTGAGGACCCCGTAAGGAGTCTCACCGCGGCATTCTGCACCTGCTGGAGTTTCTGGGTCAGTCTCAAGGGCAGCCCCGTGTAGAGTGAGGCAATGGTGGTGGGGATTGCTCTGGTCTTCTTTCTACCAGGCATGTCTGCATAGTGGTTTAAAAAAAATGTATCATTGAGTGTATTGTTTGAAATCATTTTCTGGTTGTTGTGCAGGACAAAGAAGAACATGTGTACACCTTTGGTTGGGCCAGACAGATAACTTGGTGGTGGTCCCCTTTTTTTGCAATCTGGAACAAATGGTCACATTTGCTAATATGGAAGAAAAACCTCCTTTAAAATCACCACTCATAAATGCAAGAGTCCTTTCCCCTCAATAAGTCTTAATTGTGATAATTGAGGTTGTTTTGGTGCTTGCAATTCCATGTTTTCTTATTGTTTTGCATATAAGTTGCACCAATACGTACATGTTGCTCTATTTATTAAAATGTTTTTGCCCTGCGTCTGTCCACATATGAAACTTTGCCTGTGGAATGCTACTGAATCTGAAGCTCAGTTGCTGAAAGTGTCTACTGGTTACAAATCAGGAGACCAAACATAGATGATGTGGAACTTAGCAAGGTGCCTTATTCAGAGTCAGACCATTGGTCCATGTAGATAAGTATTTCTCCACATGGACTTCTCCACCAGGAGATGCTGGGGATTGAACTGAGGGACTGAACATGTTCTTCTGTAAGAGACAGTCCTTTCCCAATGACACCTAATGCTGTGGAGCTAGACTATGTTAGGGGAATTTGCAGTGTGGCGATATTGCATATTTTTGCATTGCTATAATCCCAAGGTAAAGGGAAAGGACCCCTGGATGGTTAAGCCCAGTCAAAGGCGACTATGGGGTGTGGCACTCATCTCACTTTTCAGGCCGAGGGAACTGACATTTGTCCACAGACAGCTTTCTGGGTCATGTGGCCAGCATGACTAAACCGCTTCTGGCACAATGTGACACTGTGATGAGTGCCAGAGCACATGGAAATGCTGTTTGCCTTCCTTCCGCAGCGGTACCTATTTATCTACTTGCATTGGTATGCTTTCAAACTGCTAGGTTGGCAGGAGCTGAGACAGAGCAACGGGAGCTCGCCCCTTCGCATGGATTTGAACTGCCGACCTTCCGATCGGCAAGCCCAAGAGGCTCAGTGGTTTAGACCACAGCACCACCTGTGTCCCTGCTATAATCCCAATGGGATAGAGAGGAGAGGGAGGAAGCACAACTGCTCTGTTTTTGGTGGCACCTATAGTTCTGCCCCTAAACTACTGTTAAATTCATAGGAGCCAGGGATGGGGGAGGAATTCAGTTTGGTTCACATTCTAATGTGAACTTGCCTGCCAACAGCAGCATCTTGGGTGGTTGTCACTGTGTGAAAATACATCATGTCCCCATATGTGCTAACACATTAACAGTAAGGAACAGTAGTTTGAAGGCTGAGGTTAGCAAGACAAGATGCAGATGAGCAAACAGCAACGAGGGGCTTAGGTTCTTGTTCCAGTTTGGGATGAGGGTGAAGGCTTCATTCGTTCAGGGTGGTTGGAACATTAAAAGGAAGGATTCCTCCAAACTGGGCTGAACGAGCAGCAGAATGGCAGCTGCAGTTCCATGTGAGCAGGTGCAAAAATTCCTTATGAGATTTAAGGTAAAGGTAAAGGGACCCCTGACCATTAGGCCCAGTTGTGACCGACTCTGGGGTTGCGGCGCTCATCTCGTTTTATTGGCCAAGGGAGCTGGCTTACAGCTTCCGGGTCATGTGGCCAGCATGACTAAGCCACTTCTGGCGAACCAGAGCAGCACACGGAAACACCGTTTACCTTTCCACCGGAGCGGTACCTATTTATCTACTTGCACTTTGAACTGCTAGGTTGGGAGGAGCAGGGACCGAGCAATGGGAGCTCACCCCATCGCAAGGGATTCAAACCGCCGACCTTCTGATTGGCAAGTTCTAGGCTCTGTGGTTTAACCCACAGTGCCACCCGCGTCCCTTATGACATGTACTAGTTGGAACTAGTAGTGGCTGACCAGCAGTGGGACATTGGGATCATAGTGAAGATGTTAACCCTCAGATGTTCTAATATGGAGTATGGGAAGAAGAGACTTGTGTCCCCCAAGGAGCCTGGTCTGCCTCATTCCTGCTTCTGTCCTTTTCCTGCAGGTGTCTCTTTGACTGGTGCTGGCTGGATCCTGGTTCCATGTTGCTGCTCTCCTGCTGGGATGGGGAGTGGGAAAGAACTTGTCTCCACCCATTGAGCAAATCTCAGCTCAGCCACCAACCCGTGCTATTTCACGTTCCTCCTCCTGGCCAGCTCTCCTGTCGCCCACCACCTGGCCGAGGACTTGGCTCCATGCTGCCAACTAAGAGCAAAGAGAGCCATCTCCTTCCATGGCATTCCTCATTTCTTAGCCTGAACGGGGCCTGGCAAGCCATGGAACCGGATTCGTGTTTGGATCTGGACTGCTGTCTGTATGCGGCCACTTCCAGTTTCTCAAGGGCCCTCTTCTTCACCTGGGGTCCGTGGGCACCATATTAAAGCTTGCTTCATTCCAGGGATGGGGAACCTGCTGCCCTCCAGCCATTGCTGGACTCCAGTGCCCATCAGTCCCAGCCAGCAAGGCCAGTGGGTGGTCATGGATGATGGGAGTTCTAGCGTGGCAGTATATAGGGGGTCATAGGTTTCTCATCCCTGCTGGAAGTCTCTGCATCTCTTGGCGCTGCCCTCTCCCTCCCTTTTCCCCTGCCCCTTCCTGTAGTTGTTGCCACCAAATGGCACCTGGCATTGTTTCCTTGCAATATTGCACATGCAGGCAGTGGGGTCAGCTGCCATGCTTGCAAGGTGTGACCCTGGGCCTGTTTGGCGAGAGGCACTGGAGCGTAATTGAGAATCACTCTGCATCCTGGAGGTTTGGGCTGCGTTCAAACAGCGTCCCTGAGCACAGACTTGCAAGTTAATCTGTCGGTGCTGCCATTTAGGGGCTGAGCTGCGTCTTGGAGGGTGGATTAACACTGGGCAGCTGTCCGAGTAGCAGGTGTGGCTGTCATTTCCATTGGATAAGGATTTGGTCTCAGGGGAGAGCTGAACCCCGTGGCTCTCCAACCCCATATCCACATATCCCTCGCTCCAGCTCCAAAGTTAGAAATGAGCCCTGGGTTTCGGGGTGGGGTTTGAAATGTCTTCTGGGAGGGGCTACAGGGGAAAAGCAATGGCTAGAGGCAAAATTCAGGGCCGCCCCTCCAACTTCACTGACTGTTTCCCTTACTGCATTGGATCCAGACCGTAAGAATGCATAAATACTAATCCGTTAGTACGTCAGTCATTATTTATTTAGACACTTGATATATGCCTTATATTTTAGAAAACCAACCAACCGCTTACACTTCCTCCTCCCTTCCTGCTTGTTATTTTTGTGATGACCTTTGGTTAGCCACACAACCACACTGCTGCAATAATTAATCCCACTGAAAATGGTCACCAGGAAATTTGCACGCTCAGACTTGCATTTGTTTGAAGCATTTTTAGTTCCCTCTTCGTATGAAAAAGGTCACCCGGAGTGGCTTATGGAGAATAACCTTCCCTGCTCTCAAGGTTGCAATCTTAAAAACATGACACCAAAGGAAAACGATTTCTTTTTCTTGTGTGGGGAGGGGTGGGAGGAAAGACTCAAACTCAGCTTAGTTTACAAAGTTCTAAAAATGGCCTGCTGGAATGGAAGTGGCTCAAGGAGAGGCAGAGCTGATGGAGTGACACAGTCAATCATAGAATTGTAGAGGTGGAAGGGACCCCGAGGGTCATCCAGTCTGACCCCCTGCTGTGCAGGGATAGCTGCTGCCAGGGGACAGTTGAGAGAGGGAAGATCGAATGGAGCTGACTTCTCAGGAAAGGGCAAACCAAATCATAGAATCATAGAATCATAGAGTTGGAATAGACCACAAGGGCCATCGAGTCCAACCCCCTGCCAAGCAGGAAACACCATCAGAGCACTCCTGACATATGGTTGTCAAGCCTCTGCTTAAAGACCTCCAAAGAAGGAGACTCCACCACACTCCATTGTGATGGAGTGAATGATTAAGGAGAATAGCAGTTCCCCTAGGAGGAAAGGATGCAACAGTTGGAGCTTCTTAGTTTAGAACAGTGGTTTTCAACCAGTGGGCCGCAGCACCCTGGGGTGCCCTGGGTGATGGTCAGCGTGCTGTGGACAACACTGGCCCCTCTCCTTCTTTCCTTCCTTCCCTCCCTCCTCTGATGCCTTCTTGTGTCTCTGCCTCCCAAAGGCTTGCACAGCTGTTTGTTGCAGCAGCCCTGGGTACAAGCTCTGCAGGCGAATGATTCCTCTGGGGCTGGCCAGGGAGTGCTGGTTGCCAGGAGCTGAGGCGGCCTTGGGATAAGCAAGGAAATGGGTGATGTAGCCTAGCCAGAGTCCACCAGCCTTTGCTGTTGGGAATGGAGGGATGAGCCCCAGGCCCCTGTGGGGCAGTGTGAGGAGGCAACTCTCTTTGGGACAGGGAGTGGGGCAGCTCAGAGACCAGGGGCGGTAGCAACAGCTGCCCGGAGGACTCCCGAGGGAGAGGAGGCTGAGGGAACACTCCACAAGGGAGGGGTGAGGGGCTGCCAGATCTGCAGACAAGGGGTGACATAACTGGGCTCCTGAGCCCCACAGGGGTGTCACAGAAAGAATGTAGTTGGTCAGGGGAGCCATGGACTCAAAAAGGTTGAAAACCTCTGGTTTAGAGAAAAGGCCCACAAGAGACGACATAGTCGAGGTTTATGAAGTTAGGTATGGCATGGAGAAAGTTTTTCTGCTCTCATAATGCCTGAACTCGTGGACATCCAGTTGGTAGCCTGCAATTGTTGTTGTTATTATTTGACTGCCTGCTGAGTAGCCTGAATTTTCATGCTGGACTTGGAAGGGGGAAGCCTCATCCATAGCCTGCGTCAAAACGCAAGCTGTGAGCCTGTCAGGGCATTTTAAATAAAAGTATGTCACCAAGTGGGCTGGTGGGTGAAGGTCTGATGATGCCACTCCTCTCATTTGCTTCAATTCTGTGCTGGCCAGCAGCTCCTCTGGCTAGCACATAAATTGAGCAGGTCAACGAAGGAGTAGTTCAATCTGCCCATCCCCCACCAGCGTATTCACTCACCTGCATGGAGTCCCCAGTCACCTATGGCGACCAGGTGAGTTGCGAAATGCAAAGCTGCCTTCCAGGGTACCATCACGTTTGTCAAGTGTGAGCCGTGTGAGAAGCAGCAACCCTGAAGGAGAGATGTCCCATGCAATATCACTGTGCCACGTGGTATCTATGAACATGATGGTGCTCGTCGTGTAACACTACTTTCCCTACATGGAGGTGGGTTTGGGCAGCTTTTGAAATGGCTTCTCCAATAACAATTTCCCACCGTGCAAATAAAAATGGCTTGCAGCATGTGGCAGAGGGAGAGCGAGAGTGTTCATGCACTTCACACAAGCAGTCCGGCATGTGGCGATGCTTCTCTGCGGTTGGGGTTCAAGTGACGACCGCCCTGCAGCCTCTGTGCCCAGATAAGTCCTTTAAAGATGCCAGCACAGGATTCCATCCCAACAGTCTTTCCATGTGTCTCAGTTTCTTGCGTTTGTGTCTCTCTCTTGGATTTCTGTACGAACAACACAAATAAACTGACACCCTACTGAAGCTGCCTGAGATAATTTAATACTGCCTATAAAAGGCTAGCTGAATGTATGAAACTGCCTCATCTCTTGAAGGTAGCTCGCTAGTTGCTATCATTGAATTTCACCTGTGGGCAGCTGCTGGGGACTCAGGTAGCTGAGAGGCACCATTTAAGTTTCCGATACACCCAGCAAAGGTGTGGGGGCTTTGCAAGACACATGGTCACCCTAGAGGGGAGGTACCACAGGACTACCACAAAGGGAAGTAGCTGAAGTATAGCTTGCCAAACTTGATGGCTGCTGAAGAAATACCACCTGTGCTGTTAATAATGATTGTGCAACCCGTACAGCACATAGGCGACAATTATTCACACAATATTAATATACTGAGGAAGCCCAGAAAACTGTGCTCAGGGAGTGGGCTATCAGCCAACCCCAATAAACTGGCCCTGTCGGGGGCAAAATAGCTCTTCAACTTTATAGACTGCTAGGGCGAAACGGAAAGCAGAGACATCGCCTTGCCAACAAAGGTCCGTATAGTTAAAGCTATGGTTTTCCCAGTAGTGATGTATGGAAGTGAGAGCTGGACCATAAAGAAGGCTGATCGCCGAAGAATTGATGCTTTTGAATTATGGTGCTGGAGGAGACTCTTGAGAGTCCCATGGACTGCAAGATCAACCCTATCCATTCTGAAGGAAAGCAGCCCTGAGTGCTCACTGGAAGGACAGATCGTGAAGCTGAGGCTCCAATACTTTGGCCACCTCATGAGAAGAGAAGACTCCCTGGAAAAGACCCTGATGTTGGGAAAGATTGAGGGCACAAGAAGAAGGGGACGACAGAGGACGAGATGGTGGGACAGTGTTCTCGAAGCTACCAGCATGAGTTTGACCAAACTGTGGGAGGCACTGGAAGACAGGAGTGCCAGGCGTGCTCTGGTCCAGGGGGTCACGAAGAGGCGGACACGACTAAACAACTACAACAGGGCGAAACGGGGATAGAACGCTGGCACCCTGTTTTCCATCTGCCCTTCACAGCTACAGGGAACATTGTTGAACTTACCTATCTACTTCTTGAACTTACCTAAACAAGAAAAAACAAAAATTGAGTCAAGAAGTTGTAAGAACTTAGTAAAATCTGACACTGCAAGTTCACTTTATTTTGGATAGCTTCTAAGTTTTCATGGCTACTTTGTAAGTAGTTGTCTTATTCTCACAAATCTGATAAATGGAGGGAAATTGTTTTCTGAACAAGAATATGTGTGAATACTTGTCGCCTATGTGCTGTACGGGTTGCACAACCTTGATGGCTGGGCAAGTTCTTGGAGGTGAGGGCTATTGATGGCAATTCTCTGCCTCCACGGTTGGCGGCAGCAATGCTGCTGAATACCAGTTGCTGAAAAGTGCAGGAGGGGAGAGTTTTCCGGCTGGCCTCTGTGAGGACAGGATGCTGGGCTAGATGGTCTTAGGAGAAGGTCAAGAGGAAGCCTGTTCCACCAGGGGGCTCTGTGCCACCATAAATGAGAACATAAAAGAAAACCACTAATAGCATCCCAAAGGAGAAAGGAGGGCATTTGCTTTCCTATGGCTGCATAAAAGGAAGAATGGCAAGGTGGGAAATACAAGTGCAGACACGCTCAGCCCAGAAGCAAGGTGGCTCTCATTTGAGGACGAGCCCAAATGGTTGGCTCTGAAAGTGGCTGGGTGTTGCACAAAAACCGCCACCCTGTGCATGGGTTATCTCCCCTGCATCCCTCCAGCTCCGGTGGGTCTGGGCTGTGGCTCTGAACCAGTTGCCCACTCCCCTTTGAGGATGGAAAGCTCTTGACGCAAACCTCATGCAATAAGCCTGGAGCAGGTCTGGTCCAGGTTGGCGTGGTTTCTTTGAAATCCGAACACAGGAGTGGCGCAGCCAAGGCCAGCTTGGCCCAGAGTTCATGGGGCAAAATGCCCTTGGCCTGTTCTCTGATGGAGCTCAGCTGGGAGGAGTTTGTAGGGCTCTCTCTACCTGGTGATCTCTCACAGTATGGTGGTTCTTTGGGGGCCAAGGAAAGCCGAGGGTTCCAATCCCTTTGATAGCTGCACAGAGGAAGAGGGGAGCCTGAAATGACATGCTAGGTAACTCAGTGCTATGACTTCCATAAATTATGGAAAGTGAACAAATTTACATGATTGATCCAATTTTGCATAATTTATACTGTTTGCTGTGCAAAGAGGTAGAAGCTGTGCAGAGCACTAAAATCAACACACGTAAACACACAGTGTCTGCTCAGGCACCTCTCTGGCTTTCTGAGATCTTGGCACATTTCAAACCATAAGGGCTATTTACAATATCATCCTTTCCTGAGCATCTTCTTCCAACTCGTAATGTTGGTGCGTGTGAGGCTGATGCTGCCATGTGCATCCACCGTAACAAATTGCATTCTGGGAATTGTTCTCTTCCAACTCTTTCCCTTCTAAAATACATCCAGAAACCGCAGGGAGTTAAGTTCAAGTCCTGGCTTTGTTTGGCCTTGGACTCTCACTCTCAGTTTCCACCTAATCTGTAAAATGGGAGTAGAAGCGACTGCCTTTTATCTGAAAATGGGCAGAGGAGGAAGGAGACCACAAAGCACACAGACCATTGATTCCAGAGCCCTGCTGGGTGTTTGGTGGCAGGAGAGAGGGCAGGAGAAAAGGGAGAGAGGAACCCTCCCATTGTGGGCTGTATAAACCTAGGTCTCGGGAGACCAGAGGTCAAATTCCCACTCAGCTATGAAGCTCACCTGGTGACCATGAGCCTCTCAGCCTAACCTACCTCAAAGGGTTGTCGTGAGGATAAAATGGAGAAGTGGGGAGAATCACGGATGCCACCTGGAGCTCTTTGGAGCAAAGGTGGGATGTAAATATATTAACTAATTAATTAGTTCCCTTTCTGTTATTTCCAATGAGAAGGTTGTATACAGTCATACCTTGGTTCTTGAATGCCTTGTGACTCGAACG